CTAATTTGATTGTCAATGAACTATGGAAGTTATACTATTATACTAGCAAACAACCTTATGTAATCACGATATCATAGTTCTTAACATACATGAAATATTTACAACTGGACGTTAAGCAACAAACAATCAATAATTCATCACTATGTCAAACCTTAGAAGGTAACATGGAAAATAATTACAAACTAATATGATTGTCAATGAACTATGGAAGTTATACTTTTATACTAGCAAACAACCTTATGTCCTCACTATATTATAGTCCTTAACATACATGAAATATTTGCAACTGGACTTTAAGTAACCACAATCAATAACTCATTGCTGTATCATGTCAAACCTAAAAGGTAGCATTGAAACTAACTATAAACTAATATGATTGTCAATGAACTATGGAAGTTATACTATTATACTAGCAAACAACCTTATGTCATCACTATATCATAGTCCTTAACATACATGAAATATTTGCCACTGGACGTTAAGCAACCAACAATCGATAAATCATCGCTATGTCAAACCGAAAACTGTAATATAAACTAATTACAATCTAATATGATTGTCAATGAACTATGGAAGTTATACTATTATACTAGCAAACAACCTTATGTCATCACTATATCATAGTCCTAAACATACATGAAATATTTGCCACTGGATGTTTAGCAACCAACAATTTATAATTCATCGCTATATCATGTCAAACCTAAAAAGGTAACATGGAATCGAATTACAAACTAATATGATTGTCAATGAACTATGGAAGTTATACTATTATACTAGCAAACAACCTTATGTCAATACTATATCATAGTCCTAAACATACATGAAATATTTGCAACTGGACTTTAAGCAAACAACAATCGATAATTCATCGCTATGTCAAACCAAAAAATGTAAAATGAACTAATTACAATCTAATATGATTGTCAATGAACTATGGAAGTTATACTATTATACTAGCAAACAACCTTATGTCATCACTATATCATAGTCCTTAACATACATGACATAATACATGGAAATGAATTTACTTTTAATGAAAACGTATATTAACAAATCGTTGGCGTTTTAATGGGCGGAGTTGCTTCTCCGGAAATATATGGTATTGCTATATTTGACCAAATAAATAATATTATAGAACAATATCAGTACAAAGATAATATTAAATTTCATAAACGAATGAGAGATGATGGCTTTATTATATTTAATGGAAGCAGTGAGCAAATTAAACAACTATTTGAAATAGCAAATTAGAAACATAACCTACTGAAATTCACTTTTGAATTAAATACTCATACTATGAAATTCTTATATGTTGTATTGTATAAAAGAAAACGGTTCACCGAATCCGGAATACTAGATGTAAACTGTTACACCAAGCCCACTGAAAAGTTTCAGTATTTACAAAGAAGCTCGAGCCATGCTAAAAACTGTTTCTATTCTTTTATTAAAGGAGAAGGGACTAGAATGTTTAGAAATACTAGCAACAAGGACGAATTTAATAAACGCATTAAACTGTTTATAGATAAATTATCTAGACGGGGATACACGAAAGAAGTCGTCAGTCAAATATTGCACAAAATTCGTCACGAAGACAGACAGTTACAACTTCGAAAGAAACAATATAATAATAAAATAACAGACAGAAATATGTTCATTACAACGTATCATTATAATGCTGAATATCTTAAAAAGATTATAACTCATTTCTGGTATATAATTCGGAAAGATCCGATTGCCAAACAAATATTTAAATCTAAACCAGATATGGGTTTCAAAAACAATAAGAATATAAGCAACATGATAACTAATCATTAAGTCGAAGAACCCCTCCACAAGAGGTTTTTATAATATAGTCTATACTGTGAAACAGATGTAATAAAGACTTAATGCCGATTTATTTCAATAGATCACGTATCTGGGATAACTGATGATTTCTTATACATCCATGTTTCTACCCGACAGTGTACCTACACAAACTTCTTCAAATGATAAACAAGGAGACTTTTGTATATTATCATATGGATGATAAAACAAACATGCCAGTATATCCTGAGTTCAACAATATTACATTGATGAATACTGTCTCTACTAGATATCGTGTAGACTTATGTTGAATTAGTGATAAAAATAAAGACAATAAGTCTTTTCATTATATATATGAATAATTAAACAATAGTGTTGATCAACTTGGTCAGTTTCTTCAGTCTGTAAAAAGACTAGCTACAACGTAGACCTATATGCACGTGTACGTGTAGTTGATAAATAAAAAAAACTGTTATGAAACAGACACACATCTATCTACTATACTAGATACGAATTAAATACATAAAGTTTGGCCTCTGATGAGGGTTTACCTAGGAATATTCCCGAAAGAACCCGAAACATTGCATATTAAATTCTAAAGAATTAAGCAATAAAAAGTACGTAGTGTAAGGACAGAAATATTGATGCCATACCATGAATAAGTGGGTTTATGGTCATTTTATAAAACAATTTGAGTTTGTAAAAAGACTGGCTACAACGTAGACCTATATGCACGTGTAGTTAATAAATAAAAAAAAACTGTTATGAAACAGATACACATCTATCTACTATACTAGATACGAAATAAATACATAAAGGTCGGCCTCTGATGAGGGTTTACCTGGGAATATTCCCGAAAGAACCCGAACCATTGGATATTAAATTCTAAAGAATTAAGCAATAAAAACTACGTAGTGTCAGATTAGAAATATTGATGCCATACCATTAATAAGTGGGTTTATGGTCATTTTATGAAACAAACAAAATTGACTTAATGCTTATGAAAAAAAGACCAGAAAAAAAGCAAAGCTTATCATCGACTAATGAACCATTACCATTAAATGAAAGGCGGATGATACCTTCCAGACAGAGATGCACACCTTATCATATTGCATGCAATACTTTATACAGTTGACCTAAGTTGGCTTAAAGTATTCATGGGAAAACACAGACAATGCAAACTGAACATTGACCAAGGAATAAGAAAAATGAGGTCAAAAAGAAATAATACCTCCAAGACAAACACGTGCACCTAACAACCATTCATGAACCAACATACGGTCACATATTGCTTAAACCATATTAAAAGGGATCGAACAACGGAAACTTTCCTTTGATGAAAGTCAAGGTAAGATGATCTACGTCAGAGAGAAATTCGCTTTAAGATAAATGTTGGGTCCTAGTTTGCAGAGTGTCTTCAGGTAAGTAGTTGATTTATAGTATCACCAGCATGTCAACACTGAAGATGGTGGTTCTCTCTTGCATTTCGGCTTTCTTCATCATGATATAGCCATTATTGCTTTATATGGCATAAAACACGAGTAAGCAATCAGAAACAGCGTACACCAAATATCGTTGACCGGGTTTTCAAGGTATAAAAAACAGACAAAGAACATACACATTGAAGTTAACAACTGAGCCATGAAATGATGTCAAGGTCAGATGACATCTACAAGAAGTACATGCACATTTAAAAAGCATTCCATACAGAAACGTTAGTTAACCTACTGCTAATTTAACCTGAGCAATGCAGATATTGACGCAACTTTAACGTTGATCACAGATCCACGAAAAAGGGTCGAGGTCAGATGTACTCTCTTTCACGGACATATATACTTTTTAAGGATACCGTATATCATACACAGTATTTTTCAGCACTATTTAATGAGCTTGCTGATAAGTGAATAAACCATTATTTTTCTATGATACATAAGTGAGAAATTAACATCTCAAAAACAACATAGTTTTTAAACAGTCACTGAATCATGACAATAAAGTCAAGGACATTTCGTAATATCAACATATCTGTATACAAGGGATGAGCATCCAGGTTCTACGTTTTAAAATACAAAGCTTTATATAAATAAGTTACTCCATCGATATCGGATTAGCATAAATATGTTCATTAAAAAAACTAATTCCTGCAGATTTCAACCCTACCCTTTTAGCGTCCATTAGTAGACAAACAACGGATACAAAAGGACTATACAATTAATCAGTACAGAAAAACCCTTAACACAATATTATCTATAAATATGAAGCAATAACAAACGGTAAAAACATTCAAACACAATATTATTCTTGTCTACGAATGATAACAACAACGATTGCAAGCAAGTTAATGTTCTTTATCCCATTATTTACTTCATACCTTCTAATATAAATGGCTGTACATCGTAGAAAATTGTATACATCTCTGTCATTAACAACACAGGAAGGCATTGGATGTGTACTGATTGATAATTTAGTCTTAGATGCATGATTTTTTTTATTAGTTGTTAGTGGCTTTGAACTAGCTGTCAGTATTTGCGAATACTCTCAGATCTGTAGTTAGTGTCTTTTTTTGTACCAAGTCAGAAATATGACAGTTGTTGTCCATTCGTTTGATGTGTTTGTGCTTTTGATTTTGCCATTTGGGACTTTCCGTTTTTGATTTTCCTCGGAGTTCAGTATTTTTGTGATTTAAGTTTTTGTCGACTCTGTGTAGTATTTGTATTTGTATCCATCTGATGAGTTAAGCCTTTTTCAACTTATTTTTATAGTTCGTTCTAATGTTGTACTGTTACACCACTGTCCCAGGTTAGGGGAGGGTTGTGATCCCGCTAACATGTTTAACCCCGCCACAATCTGTATGTATGAGCCTGTCCCATGTCAGGAGCCTGTAATTCAGTGGTTGTCGTTTGTTTGTGTGTTACATATTTTTTTTTCGTCTATTTTTTGTACATAAATTAGGCCGTTAGTTTTCTCGTGTGCATTGTTTTACATTGTCATTTTGGGGCTTTTTATAGCTGACTATGCGGTATGGGCTTTGCTCATTGCTGAAGCCGTACGGTGACCTCTAGTTGTTAATTTTTGTGTCATTTGGTCTCTTGTAGAAAGTTATCTTATTGGCAATCATACCACATCTTCTTTTTATATTATATTGTGCAATGCTCTGAACAAATGTACAGTATAAAGCAAGAAAAGCATAAATGGATTGAAACAACTCCATGCAGTTGTGCTTTAATAAAAGAAGTCATTTATGTAACTATATGTTTGATTTTGTATTGTCCACTCTAATTCGATATACGGAAGAAAAAACACAAAGATCAATTTGAGTTGTCTTCCAGTTAATGGATATTTCATATCTTGTATTTTGATTCACAATTTCTCCCGATAAATAGTTGTTTATCAAAAGAACAAAATGGACAAGGAAGCTTCTTACGCAATGATTCACAGATGAAGTTTCGTTTTTCGAAGTTTAACTAATGTCATTATGACATGGTAGACTGCAGATGACAACGGATGGGATGCATTTGTCGTGACTCGTTTTGTCTTCATTTACTGTTGTTGGTGATTATTCACTATCTTGAAAACAAAAAGGACACCATGAACTGATCAGCATTCGCGATCGGATAAATCGGAATTTATCCACAGGCTTGTTTTTTCTTTGGTATTTGCTGTCTCAATCACTTTGTTCGGTGTTTAATGAACTTTTGTTGTTTTTTTTCATTTTAAATTGTTTTTTTTTTATTGTTTCTTTTCTTTTTCGGCGTATGATGTTTTACTGTCTTTTATCTGAAATTTCAAATTTGAAAAAAAAAACATCTATAACAAAACATTTCCTCTGAACAAAGTTTTTACCAGTCTTTATGACCATTGTCTCTTCCCTTTAAAGTATTTCTGCCTTGCTGTTTATATTAAACTACCACTGCTATCAAAATATACAAAATGAAAGATATAAAAAAGATATTTGATTAATTTGTTTAATACCACCTTTAGATTTTTTTTATTTTTTCTAATACAAAACTGAGTAAAAAGAAAAGTCGATGAGATGAGTTTTTTTTAACCTGATTACATTCGATATCGATTAATTTTAAAGGCCTCCTATAGTTAAATAAATCACCTGAATTGAAATGAAACCGCTTCCAATCACAAGTTTTTCTAAAAATGGTATCGTGTTAATTCAGTTAATGCATTCAATAAATAAAAAACATTGGTCGGAAAGATTCGAAAAAGCTCAAGAACAGTTACTTCAGCGGTATTATAACGCTAAAAATTAAAACAATTACGTCGTAAATTTCAAGCATTCAAAGCTGGATTAACTTTTATCAGGAAACTTCAAAGCCGAATATTATAGTCAAGGATGTATCAAATAGAAACAGAAACATATTACAAAAACCTAGATGTTGTTTGATTATCTAGATGACAAAAATAAGTTTAAGAAGGAAACCAACGTTTTATAAAGGTCTTGCGTCAGTGGTGCTTTTCTGGCTGGATTTAATAACTTTCCATATAAAAGTCAGTGATGTGTTTTTTTTATAATCGTTTAAGGAAATTACAATTATAATGCATATTGTCAAACAAAAACACATAGAAACGATGCGAGCTATATGTTTGAAAGTGGCAAAAACAAAACAGTCTGTTTCATCCTAGGTCAATCAAGCATGCGGAAAATGGAATCTTGCATTACCGAGCATAGCTTTCGGACAATTACGATTTCATGTACGAAAAAAGAGAACTGTATGATAATATTTTGTACTACGTCTTCCTGCAACACCGTATCGTTAAATACCAGTCTGAATATCATAATTCAAAGTCAAAAGATAAAAAGCAATGTTCTAGTAATGACTAAAATGTATGACATAACCAGAAAAATAAAAAAATACAACTGAAACAGTAAGTCTCCCTTCATACAATGCTAAACATTACTGTTGAAACAAAAACACATGAAACTTGGAAGACAAGACATAAACAATCTTCGAACACTTATTATTTTAAATATTGCTTACGGATGTATTCTTCTGACGTTTCAGTCTCGTTCATGAATTATTTCCAAAACATGTGATACAAGTGGAAAATATCAATGAATTTAAAAATGCTATAATCAAACTTGACTGTGAAACAAATGTGTATTTAAAACAAGTAGTTTTTGTTTTGATTAATACTTTTTTTTAATTCTATTACCAATCAAGTCAGTCTTTTTAGCCAAAATGTTGAAAAAATGGGTGAGGGGTACAAGAAATGATTTAACCAGAAACATGTACATCTTATATCACTTTTTTCTTTTCAAATTTCTTAGAAATGTTTTTTTCAATCATCATCAAATTAGAAGCCTGGTACATTTGATAACTATTATAACAAAACAAAATGACATAAACGGCATTATGTTCTAAACACAGAGAAAAAACAACAAAATATGATAAAACTTTCTTATATCAACACCTACCTATAAGTTAAATTTATTCAGATTGGTCCACTTTGTTTTTGTTGAAAGTATAAAAGAAATTGTGGAACTGTGATTTTTTTCATGATAATAGCCCAAAATGGGAAAATCATCAAAATTGGGTACTTTCAAAGGGCTGTAGCAAAAAAAAAAAGAAGTGCACCACCATATAATTTTTTCTTCACTCATTATTTTATTTACAATCGTAATAACCCAGGTTAAGAAAAAAAGTTTAATTCTAGAAATTTTTGGCTACTCAGAGATGTACATCCTTTAAGTATTATGTGTGTATGGACGAATCTAAAGAATTTACACATAACTTGATGTTGCCAATTGCAAATTGTTTTTATTTGCATTTAGTCTGTGGTGTTCATCCGTTACATGCCCAAATTGTTTGTCTTCAACTCATATAGGTAGAGTGAAAACATTACATTTAATTTCCGGTATATCTCCAGTTGGTTATCCTGTTATACTTCTAAATGTATAAAATGATTATTAAATGCTAGCTAGTGTAATTAAATTGGTATTGTTAATATTTTTGTACACACAAAAGCATATCTTTGACTCTCTAACTTTTACTATCAGGAACGAGAAAAGGTTTTTGTTGATCATCATTCATCTCCTTTCCATAGTGTATAGAGTTACATAAACTATCATCATCAAGTTTGTTGCTAGTGAAAGTCATATCGCAGCTTCTTTTCTCATCTACGTTATAATTTCCTGAAACGATTGTAAACATATTTTTACAAGATGACGTTTCCAGTTGTAACACATAGAGTCTGAGATTTAATGATGCCAACGGACTAATGTGTATAAAACAATATGAATATAAAGAGATGAAATTGTAATCAAATGACAAAACCAACCGTAAATATATATTGGGTCTTTTTATCAATAGACAGGTTAATGTCCAATAAAGCAAACACTAAAGTGGAAACATCAAAATAACACTTTAAACATTTAGAACGTCTGAACCATATATCTATTAGGTTGTGAATAATTCTAAAAGAACAAATCATAAATGTTCCTATATTCTGCAAAAAGACGTCTTTTGACGAGGTTACAAATTTTAAACATAACATGCTCGCGCTGTGAACTAAAATCACACTGACTTATGTTTTCATCTTTTGTTACAAAATCTAGCATTAACTTGTAACGGGAATCAACTAACTATATTTGTCAGTAATTTTTGGATTAATTTCTATTTTATGCTTATGGTTATTGTTCATTTTAGGGATTTAAATAAAATACTACTCATCGCAAACATAGAACAGCTTTATTGTCCCGTTTTTATTGATATTCGACATCCCCATGGCCCTTACGACTTAATTTTTGTCTTTTGAAGGTGTGTTTAAGTTATATTTTTAAACATTATTTGTGGTTCTTTTTAATGCATTATGACAAACACCAAGCTAATCATTTTAAATATATGTGTCTAAAACATGTGAAAGGTAATTAATACATTTTACAGTGAGCTTTGAAATGTTCTGGCATAATCTATCAGAAATTGAAGTGTTTGCCATCTTAAAGCATTTTTGTCATATGTATTGATTTTTTTGTTTTCAAGACGACTACACAATGTTTGCATTAGTTGCATACACATACAGCTGTGAAAATATGAAAAAAATATACATCAAGGAAATATGATTTAGCTTATGAAATACATACATTTACATGTAAACCGGAAGGGCATGTATCATATTTAACAAAGATAAAAATAATGTCTTTACCGGTTTGTTCTTTTGATTTTCTTCTTTTGAGTATTATCCAAGTAACCATACATGCTACAGCTACTACTATGATTAAGGAAATCAACAAACCAATCAACATCTTTTTGTCTGTTGTTGTTTCATCTATGAATAATTAAAATCAAAATTGACTGTTGCCATATGTATAGTAGGATATGTATATATATCTGAAGATCCAGCAAACACTCCAGTTTTCTATAGCCAGACTTCTTGTTGCTACGTCATAATTTTTCTATACATTGATAAGTAGATAGTTGTAAAAATTTCTTATTTCCAATTTAGCATTTTGCATTTAAGTTGGAACTGAACAAAATCAACTTAGAACCGAGTAGTATTAAGTGGAAAGTACGATATCCTAGTTGATTAATAAGTGATAATATAAACACAAAAAAAAGCTGGAATACTTTTCTTAAATAAAGGACTGCATAGAATCTAAAGCATAATATCTTACTTTTCACTTCACACATCATCGTTTTTTCAACTGGTATATGATACTTGATTATAAATCGACATGTAACTTCCAAATCATCATCGCAATTCGTCGAATTTGGTAATGCATTGCGCATAAAAACTTTATAATAGATGTCCTTTCGTCTAATTAACTTCACAATCTTGAATGGTATATCTGTACCCTAAAAGATGATATTTCATGACTACCCTTATGTGTCAAAATGTTTAAACAATTTATATACCCAATTCTTAGACTAGGGGGGGGGGGGGGGTGTAACAAGAAACATTTAATTAGCAAATAACATTTAATTTATTTATACATTTGTTATACAGTATAGATTTATTTCGTATCTTCAAGTTTTTCAGATCTATCTAAACGTAAGCAAATAGTATAGATTTACTTGTGTTTTTCTGAATTAAAAATTCACACAGTATTTGTTTCTGACATAATCAAATTATTTAAAATCTATTTGTGCTTTATTCAGAAATTCGAGTTATATGTCAATTTATTTATTGTCTTTTCAAATTTTTGTGTTTAGAAAATTGATGACTTTGGACAAAGGTTAACATTCTTTAGATCTCATTAAATCATTGATCAACATGACTTTAGCTTTAGCGACACTTGAGTTAAACATTTCATGAGTTTGCAAGTTTACCAAAATTTTGTACAAATGCTTGACTTGGGTCAACATGTGATACAGTTATTGCCAGATATCATTTCGGGTCGTTTAGGTCATTTACGCTATGGTTGCGTTTGTATTTATGCGAGGTCGGAAATTTCAAGTCCTTAACATGGTCATGGAAAATTGTAAGACGAAATAAACAGAATCAACTGTTTACCGTGTATACAATAATTTGAAAATTTCTGAACAACGAAATCTGTTTTCCTTTAAATTTGTAGACGACAATCCATTTTACACGTTTAACTTTAAGGATGTTCGCTCCTCTTGTTTTTGAACTTTTGACAGATATTCGGAATCCTCTGGTTTTATCCATCTAGTGCCATAATAAAAATTTTGCCCACTAACCCCTACTTTTCTTTTCATAATATGATTAAATATAGTTTAAAATGTCATCTTTGAAAATCTTATTAGATCCTTGTTATTTCTTCATACTTTTAGACAGAAAAAAGATGCCAATGTTAAATGTATGAAAAATCTAGAGAGAATCATTTCCCGCCAAATTTTCAATGGCTTATATCTCAAAAACAAGCACACGGACCCTTCATTTTTATCTGCTTTTTTACTTCCTTTATTTATATACTATCAATTTATAACAGTCTTTTAAAAAGCTTATTTTTTTGAAACACAGTAGCGAACATCCTTAAAGGGGACGCACAGTCCAAGCGATGGGTCTATGATATAGGTTCACTCACCCTACCAGTTATTGTACAGTTTGGAATTGGGTAAACCTTGTTTAAATGCAGCTGTATTGTGAGCATTCCATCAGATGTGTTGGTAAAGATTGTAGCTCTTGTGTCATTAGCTGGAGGATCTAAATTGATATCGATTTTAAATAAACTATTAAGGTGGAACCAAACACATTGATTAAAAATAATTTGGCTCGTTTAATCTTCATAAAATTTTGACAAAATATTTATTTTGATCCTTTGACAAAAATATAAAAGTATTTAAAAAAACTTGAACCATACACTTTATCGGAAGACTTTCATTTAATATTTAACAGTTTGACAAACATTAATTTAGATCATTGAAAAGCTTAATATTTCCTGAACAATAGAATTTGTTTTCAACTTACATTTAACTACAACTGTATGTAATCATTTCAATGCTATGTATATTGTCAAACTTCCATCTAACTACAGAGAATATTTTTGTAGGGGCAGATTTAAGTAGACAAATTTATTTTCCACTGGAAGAAATATATTTACTATATTTGCTCACGAAATACAGAACGTAACAATGTGTTTTTAAAAAAGAGCACATATCTTAAAATTCTTATATATGTAACTAATATTTTCAGATAAATTAGGTACGGACGTACACACATGTAAAATTTATATGCGTTTAGATATCAAATTGAGAATATAACGTTGAAGTTATAATACAGGGGAAAAATAAGTATCAGATGGGTCTATACAAAGAAACAACAACATTACATTTTATGACATTTTAATCAATCAACAACGAAATTATAAACAGATTTGCTGATATTAAACGAACTGTTCTATATCTCGTTTTGCAGTATGCTGTAGCTTGATATGTTCTTATATGAATATCCAAAAGATTCATTATGCCATAATGTTGAATGGTTGCAGGTTACTAACATGGAGTTTCTGAGCATCGAACTCCATCATAAACCTTAATAATGATAACACCACATACGGTATATAAGCCATTGCTTCCTAACTTTAGCTCGAACGGATACAAAATGTAGCATACATTTCATATATAATGTATGTGATACTTACTTTCAAAATTGTGTTCCGATATTTCCAGCTTTTTTGTTTGTGTATCAAAGCCATATCGACATTGATATTTACACTGCAGATCTGACTCTGATATATTATAGATCTTCAGTTCAAATTGATTTCCATTTTGTTGAATCTCTCTATATTTATCTGGATTTATTGGGTGGCCATTAAAACAAATAAGTTCAGAACCTTTCGTCCATTGCCTGATAAGTCCCCCGTTGATGGAATCTATACCATCAACAGTACAAAGTAAAGATAATGTCTCTCCTATACGTATAATCTCTGGTTTTAATGTCCATGAAACTGTAAAATAATCAATATACTCCTACTGAAAATTAAATTTTGTTGAATAGATAGAGAAATCAAAATTAAGCCATGTGTATTTTCTCTGATTTGTTCATTTTTAAGGCACGAGCATGGTGTTAGCTCCAAATAGATCTGAACCTTTATACATATATACCATAAGCATGTTAGTACGATTTCCTGGTTTAGAATTAATATATACTGAACAAACAGTAGAACACACTCGCGAGGCACTCCAATATCATATATTATTTCCGGAAAATATATTAGTTCATACATTTAAACACGAAAACCAGTTGACGACAATTGATTGTACCACTTTAAGAGGGACTGTCAATGCTAAGTTATGGTCGATTCAAAGCTATTGTATTAAAACTGCAGTGTTTAAAATCATTCCTGATGGGAGCAAGCTCACGTAAAGTCCAATGAAATGAGATTGAACAAGGATAATACAAAAGCTTTGCACGGTAGGTATAGTATCCGGCTAGAATCGTGGTTTTTCTAGTGAATCTGTCCATTTTTTTCGAGTGTAGATCGGGCTTTTTCGAGTGATAAAACATGCGATCAGGTCAATTAAATGCTAATTCGTAATTAAATTATTCTTTTACATGACTACCCATCTTATTTTGAATACTATACATGTTTTGAGTAACAAAGAAGCACAATTTCCTTGTATTTAACCATTAAATTCAGTGTTTGTTATTGTCCGGGTATTTTCGAGAAGAACTGTGAAACCGCCCGGGTTTTTAAACAAATGGTCCGGGTTTTTTAACAAAAATTTTAATAAGAAAAATGTATTCTTGACTTTAAAAAATGATTTTTCTAGTTTATAAATGTAATTTAATGAAGGAAAATATCATATATTCTCAATAAGTAACCAAAACATATTACTACGTTGATTAAAATTAACAATTTTCAATTTAATGCAAATTTTCTGTTCGGAAAACGTTCTACCATAACTATCCAGTATTAAATTATATATTTTTGGATTCTTTATTAAAAGGTCCTTAGAACATAGTGCAGGGGACTCATAATCTTTTCAACTGCATTTTATGGTACTTTTGTTGTCACAGTTAATAATTTTTTCGAGGTGAACCCCGGAGTTTTCATACGGGACGTATTATGGTATACCGTTGTCCGTCCGTCCGTCCGTCCAACCGTCCGTTGTCAGCATGTCGGACAATAACTCAAAAAGGCGGTAACCAATTTACATAAACTTCGGTGAATTATTTATATCTATTGAGGCATCCTCCCTTTAGAATTTTGAAAATTTTAGATTTTACGTTTCCGAGTTATGGGATTTAATTAAACAAACTAGAGGCCCTAAAGAGCATGTGTCGCTAACCTTGGTCTATGTGCTGCAGTGCATATTAAACAAAGTTATCAAAGGTACCAGGATTATAATTTAATACGCCAGACGCGCGTTTCGTCTTCCTAAGACTCATCTTCTACATTAAAGAAAAGAATAGAATTCATGACAAAATTCTCTGTGTTGGTGATGGTGACTTGTTTGTAGATCTTACTTTACTGAACATTCTTGCTGTTTACAGTTATCTCTATCTATAATGAACTTGGTCCATAAGTTTCAGAGGAGAAGATTTTTGTAAAAAAAAGATTGCGTTGCTCATGATCCGCTATCCTTAACATTAAAATACAGTTATTAAGCTGCTCAGATTGAGATCTGTTCAACAGCAATTATAACTCTCGACGTATATATCCTAGCATATCACGGGACAACACAATGAAAAAGTTAACCGGACGACGACGACGGCCAACGACGACGGCCAACGACGGACGCCAAGTGATGAGAAAAGCTCACTTGACCCTTTGGGACCAGGTGAGCTAAAAAGGGGTGATTTTAGTTTTCGGACAATATGTTTAAAGTGCTTTGAGGAGTTTTAATGAAACTTTGGTGACTGCTTTATATAGATTAAGGTAATCTCCCTTTTAGTTTTTTTTAATAAATTTTTGATATGACATTGAGAAATAATGTATAGCTTCCATAACGAGTGAGAATGGATATCGCTTGATATCAACTCGAGTTATTTAATTTCAATATAATAATAAACGAGCCTCCGGCGAGTTAATTATTACTATTTGAATAAAATAACGAGAAGAAATTACTTACTTACTTACTTACTTGAATTAAATAACGAGAGTTGATATCCAGCGATATCTCATTCTCACAAGTTGTTAAACCTATTAGTCGTATGATCAACACTCATTGTGTTAAATAAAAAATTCCGTGAATCGTTGGTCTAGTATTTTGCACATGAAATGTATATCGTCGTAACCTTTGATGGTCATCAATGACCTAACGAATAGCCAATGGAAATGCCGTAAAGTCGTCTTATGATGGTGGATAAGCAAATTAAATTAACGCAGATTTACGTATCATTTTTCCGTAAGAAACCTACTGGACAGCAGAGAAGAATCAGAAAAATGCTATGTAATAAGAAATATTCTACTAAAAGAGGTATGCCCCCTGCCCCCACAAAAAAAAATTGCATCAATAACAAAACAAAAAAAAAAACCATTCACACACTCAATCCGACCAGTTTTTATTCCCATTGTAAATAAAATCTGAACTGAATTTCATATATAGTTATAATTCAGCTTAATTCACTATTTGTACGTATGTCCCAATCCAAATTGTCTATGCTTACATTAGATTGTTGACATCATGAATATATACTGTATATAGATATAAGAAGATGTGGTATGAGTGCCAATGAGACAACTCTCCATCCAAGTCAAAATTTATAAAAGTAAACCATTAAAGGTCACAGTACGGTCTTCAACACGGAGCCTTGGCTCACACCGAACAGTAAGCTATAAAGGGCCCCCAAAATTACAAGTGTAAAACCATTCAAACGGGAAAACCAACGGTCTAATCTATATAAAAAACGAGAAACGAGAAACACTTATGAACCACATCAACAAACGACAACTACTGAACATCAGATTCCAAGATACATGTAATTTATAAGATGTGACAAACAACAATATATACAAATGAACGATACTTGTTTATAAAGTGTAAATGTTAGTACACCTTTATCAAACTGATGAATGCATTGGTTTCGTGCCTTAAAAAGTACACAATTTGAATCCTTTTTATTGTTTTTAAACGTAAATACACTAATACATAGCATTCTAAGCTATAGGAAATTTGTAAAATCACTCGATAAAACACGGACGCACTCGAAAAAGCCCGGACTGCTCTCGAAAAAACCCGAACACATAGAAATGAATTTAGTCTCAAAATGTCGTTTTCAATGCAACAACAAGAATTTTTGGAAAGTGTCTGTATGTCTAAGGATATATGGATTCCATGTATGCATTTCCATCGACATTTGCATTTGTATGTGTATGACAATGGCTTTATTCTGTTTTTTAGAATAAAAGCATTGGAAGTCTTAATTCAACTTTTTTAACGAAAAATAATGTCGGATTGATAATATCTTTTTATCTCAAATACTGACACACCTTGTATATCCATGTATATTAAACTTAAGCTTCTATATCACGTCTTGTCAGAAAGGAAGTCTGTTTGTTTACATTTTTGATCATATTCACTCGAAAAAAAGTGGTCACACTCGAAAAAACCCGATCAAATCACTCGAAAAACCACGATCCTAGCCGGACACTATACCTACCGTCTTTGCGTCAACCATAACTTAGGATTGACAGTTACAGTAATACAATTAATTGACGTCAGATTTTATTCGTGGAGTAAACCGGAGGGCCCGGAGAGAAAAAGCACAAGGTAAAGAATACATACATTATATATACACACCTTAAAAGTGTATACATTGAAATATCAATAATAAAAATGTTTATATCAAATTAAAAAAAAAAAACCCAGTTAATCCAAGTAGCAATAAATATTTCGGATAATAGATATCCTTCATCAGGATGATGTAAAATGAATCATACCAATCTTTTTCTGATCTCCAACATGTAGTAGTTTGTGTAAATATATATTTTGAAATTTAATTGGAGTGCTCATCTGTCATCTTATAAATATTAACACAATCTTTACTACTGATTTTTTATGTATAGATGGGCAGCCACGTTAATATACGTGTAGTATTGAGTTGTTTTGTTTTGCAGAATTTTGGATTAAATTAATAGTTCAAAAATATGTCTGTAATACTGAGCTATTTTCAAAAAATAAACATCTGATGTTGTATTAAATCGATACACCTATTAACACCGACGAAGGCTTTTTGTTAAGCCTAAATATTTATCAACCTGATTTTATAGCATCAATTTCGTATATAAACACATGTAACCATCTTATATTGGTATTGTTGAATGCATATTCTAAGACTTCTTTATGTTGATCCCTTTGTATGAGCAGTAGCGCCTATTCTAGAGAATCCGGTAAATGTACTGTATTATAACTCTATGATAATATTATCCCAAAAGCATGAGTTCGAATCCCGGAGAGAGAAGAATAAAAATTTGCTTCCGCAAATATGCAGATTTAACATTGTTGTGCTGATTTTAGCGTAATTACACTAAATATGAACACTCATTATACTAGTACAATATGAATTATACTCACCATTTGCATACACTATTTCTATGATGTCACATAAAACAAATGTGATGACGTGGGTATATAATTTTGCCATTTTGTGTCCTACCTACAACATGTACAATAATAAACATTGCAAACAGATAACCTTCTAGCAGGCGAAATGTGCTACGTACTACAGTAAAAATGAAGAACGAAAAAGTTGTAAAAATATATACATGAGGCTGGGACACAAATTTAAGACACTAAAAAGGAACGGTTGTAAAAACAGCATTTACCTTCACATTCAATATTATTTTGTTAAGCCATATCGGAGTCAAAAAGCGATACTTATTTATACTGCTCCCGACGGTGGCTTCGGCGTCAACAATATATAATTTTGTGACTATGTCAGTTTATGAAAAAACCCTTGTGGTAGGTAATGATATTTAGTAAGCATTTGTATTAACATTAGAAAATCTCATTTCCATGAAGATTTTTTTTTACCGCCTCCTCAGTCATATTCTATTGACTTTGATCTTTGCGTCGTGCTTGCTCCTAGTGGAAGAGTTCTTGGTTTGATCCTGAGCTTGTCACACCAAAAATCTTGGACATTGGTATTTGCAGCCACTCCGCTAAGCACACGAGATTGAGGAGTAATATATGGATATTGTGTACGAGCAAACCGACACGTCGTCCTGTGGACCGTTACCATGTTAGCTAACAATATAAAACTCCGGCTAAGCGTATCAGTTTTAAATAGTTGAGTTCATATTCTTATCATATGAGTGGTACTATGACAGATAAGTGCATGTTCTTCACGATGTCGAGGATGATAAATCATTAGCTGATGCATCGGTAATAATAACACATTAAAAAATTGAACCAGTTTAAGACATGAGTGTTTCGCAAGCTGTGGATTTCAACAATTTAGAGACGTTTGACATAGAGATTTTTAATTCTTAATCCGCCTCGAGATACTGCCGAGACTGTACCGGCGCCCATTTCTTCGGACAATTCTGGTGTTGAAGCAACGAATCAAAAATTCGAGCGTGTTGGCCATTCAGGCGATAAAATGTCACAGGACCACACTAAAAATGCTAAAAGACGTACAAATACTAAAGGGGTAGTTAAAATTTCAAATTTTGAGCAATTTTTCATTTTAGTTTATTTGTTGGAAATTTTTTTTTTTGCAAATATGTTCTGTTTCAAAAATCATATTTACTTGTTTCGGCTCCCTCGGAATTTAGGAGTGGACATTATTTTTTTTTTTTCTCTTGTCGAATAACCTGCAGAGATTTCCTTTTAATGTGTATTTTTATTTGAAACCTGATAAAATTGAGATTGATAAAAAAAAAATGTGGTATGAGACAACTCTTTTCAACCGAGAAAACTAAAGGCCTAACTTAGGTACAAAATAATGAACGAATAACAAATAAGTAACACAGCAACAAACGAAATCCACTGAATTACAGGCTCCTGACACTGACACTGTGAATGTTTTTTTGTAGGTGTAATATTTTCTCAAGGAGGCGGAGCTTATCCATACAATGACAGTTGTAGTGTTTTTGTTTATTTCATGGCTGTTTTCCCTTTGAGATGTATAGGCCCATGTGACCTTTCATGCAATATTATTTGGTTGCTTAAAGCTAGAACATACATTATTGTACATGCTTGTCGTCTCTATTTCATTCCATAAAAGATCACAGGAAAGAAAAAAGATTAATGTCACAAAAGAAAAACAAATACGGAAAGAAACCTTTTTAAAATATTCGGATCATCATGAAAAGTCAATGTCACCTTTTCAGTCGAGTTAATAAAGAATAAAAGGCGATGAGGATTTTACATCAAATTAAGAATAGAAATGGGAATGTGCCAAAGCGACAACAACCGACCAAAGGACAGAAAACAGTCGAAGGCCCCCAATGAGTCTTCACCAAACCGAGGAAATCCCGCACTTGAGGCGGGCTTCAACTGCCCCTATATATAAACAAAATGTGTACTATACAGAAGATATGATTGCCAATGAGACAGTTCTTCACAATAGACCAAAGACACAGAAGTTAACAACTATTTGTCATCGTACGGCCTTTAACAATGAGCAAAGCCCATACCGCATAGTCAGCTATGAAAGGCTCAGAAATGATAAATGTAAAACAGTTCAAATGAGAAAACTAACTAATTTATGTATAAAAACATGAACGAAAAACAAATAATTATGTAACACAGCAACAAACGACAACCACTGAATTACAGGCTCCTGACTTTGGACAGGCACATACATACATACTATTCAGTGAAAATGGACGTCACACTTAGCCTCAAAACATGTAAATGAACTAAAATAATATATAAAAACACACACACAAGGCTAACAAAGGCAAGAAGCTCCAGACTTGGGACAGGTGCAAAAATGCAGCATGTACATACTTAGTACATGAATCTAAACACAAAGAATACAAAATAAGACATGTAGTACATTGTAGATAGCAAAGTTTACTGTCTTCAGCAAAAAATTATAATATAATATCTTACGCATTTTAGTATGTCAATCTCCAAAGTACCTCGTGTGAAGATATTTTCATAGATAATTTCAACACAGTTCACCAGATATTTGAAATCATCACCAAGGCCTTAAATAATAATATGTGTACGTACTTAAAAAAAATGAATATTATACAGTCACTTAGTCCTTGAAACATTTTAACGAAAGATTAAACAAAAATATCGATTATGTTACAACATAAATGTAACAGCTGGCATGAGTGCTTTTATTTATATTTAACGTGACTATTGATAACGTATTTTTCATGTAGCCATATCAATAGTATTTTATCATATTATGTATAAGTCTGAATACAGTGACACATCCAATGATGCGAGAACAGTTATGAAGGAGGGGGAGGGTAGGACCTTTATTAGGACTCCGGGATAGTCAGTTTTTTAAGTTCCTGATTTCGAGAACTAGCTATATATGATCCTCGAAATTTTGAGACTTAGTTTGATCGAGACACGGGTTTAACGGTCAAGAATTTTGAATTGTCATCTATTAGGGCTCTTGTTTGAGGACACAAAAAAAATAACAAAAAAGGAAAAAAGGAAAATTAGCATTTGTGTATTGATACATGTAGAAGGTTGATGTTTGTAGTTTTAGCAGGTATGATCAAGTATCTATAACATTATGAACAATAAATTACACAAAATAATTTAAAGAATACTCAACAATGACAACAATGTTTATCAGTAATGTCAGTAATTTGGTAATGGTCAACTGGCCGATACCTGTTTTTCTTTTTTTTTTATAAGATAGGAGTTTGTGTATTTCAAAGTTTTTGGTTTGCTGTTTTATTTGTTGTGTGCATATTTGTTTGTTTATGTTCCCTCGTTATGCGGAGCAGAAACTGCTTACTCTACCGGAGCAACTGGTTTAACTCCTGTTATTGTAGGAGTCCATGTGGTCAATGTTTTAAAGTTTAGGTGTTCTATGTTCTGTGTTGTGTTTGTGATTGTTCCTTATGAACCCATATTTATTTGTTTAACAGTTTATGTTTTGACTACTTGGATATATTTGCACATTGATTGTCAGTCTATGATTTTAAGACTTTGATCTTCTCCGAAGATGATTTTGTTCATCTTGGTCAAAGTTAAAAATATTAAGAGTATTAAAAATTAGTAAACCAGAGGACACGATTACACAGAAACAAAAGAGTATTAACACAAGGTAAAATGTAAAATTGAGAATGTGTCCATATATATATATTATATGTTTTAAACTAAACTTTCTTGATTATATTACAATTATTGATTAATGTACTTTGACAAAAAAAATTCTTTTATGTTATAGGGATTTTGGGATATTGTCAAATAAGGCCCGGGAAATCGGGATTAACAAAAATAACTTGAGATTTCGGGATTAAGTTTTCAGTAATTGCAGGGGAGGTAATATTTTGACATTATATTCCCCTATGCTGAGAAGAGGTAATACTATATATATATATATATACTGAAGTACAAATAATTATGACGTCTTGAAAGGCTATTATATTTTTTTCTTTGACGCCTTACAATTATGACGTCTTGAAAGTCTGTATTTTTTGCTATGACGCCTTAAAGCGACGATGTAAGGCGTCCAAGAAAAAAATATAATAGCCTTTCAAGACGTCATAATTATTTGGACTATATATACTGTAACATGTTAATATATTCGAACGGATGAATATATCTTTAAAGGACAGTGATGGCATCATGCTGTTCAGTAAATAAGCAGTTAAACATTGGAACTTGCAGTGAATTTTCTGAAACCTTGCATTTTATTGTAGGGGCTAAAAATTGGTCTTGTATCTTTGTTTGTTTGTTCATCCGTTTGTTTACATATTGTCGTATTTATATTTGATTTATCTCCCTTATCCCATTGAAAGAAAGAACTAGTTTTTCTGGTAATGTCGTAGACACTCTTTTCCGTGCACCTGGGTTGCATTTAATTGATTAATTATTTGATGTTTCACGTTCAGTGGGTAATATTTCATGCATATTCAGAACGTATAAGAATTTGATATAAGGATTGAAAAGTGACTGAGATGGCACATCTTTATGTATTTAATTCATCGTATCTATATTTATTTATAAACCACCACAAAGTTAAAATCACAAGTTCATTGCCATCCTACGTGAAGGTGCAACAAATCTATATGTCTCAAAATGTTTTAAATTCATTTATGATGATAACATGTTCTATATACACACGCATGCTCTTATGCAGTCAATCTCATTTTTTTCATGCATCTTCTCGAAAGATCTGTGTGGCCTTTAATAGATCAAGTAGAAGCAGTGTTTCGATTTATCCCAAAATTATCACCAGCATGAAAATCTTAGGTTATACAGGTCCGATAAATCCTAGTTGTTTGTCTGAGCGTATAAAGGCGTCTCAACATTTTGAAGAATCAGCGTTTACTTAATGGGTCAAATTCAGACTAGTAATGTGCACTTTATGGGTGTTAGTGCTGTATAAAACATAGGTCATCAGATTGACAATGGCAGTTGCAAAGTCTTTGTAGAAGAACAGAATACTGTAAACCATTTATTTCCACGGATACTTTATATCGCGTTTACCCCTTTCAAGATCAATTCTCGGCGATTTAATTTCGCACTTTTCAATATTACTTGATGTAATTAGAAAGAAAGATCTAAGTTTTAAAATTTTGCGACGATTTGTATTCGCGTTATATTTCTACTTGCGAAAGTTGCGAAAATAAATGTTGGTTTTCAGTAATAGAAACCTTTTTATGTGAGCATAAATAAAGTTTGTATTTTTCCTTCTGTTCTACTAAAACAAAACCGGTGTATGCAAGGTATTTCGTTTATATGTCACTATGCAGCCTATAAATTAAGAGGATGTGGTATGATTGCCAATGAAACAACTATCCACAAGAGACCAAATGACATGAAAGTTAACTACTAAAGATCTTCGTACGGCCTTCAACAATGAACAAAACCAATAACGCGTAGTCAGCTATAGAAGACCCGAAATGACAAAATTAATGTAAAACAAATCAAACGAGAAAACTAACGGGTTAATTTATGTACAAAACAATAAACTGAAAACAAATATGATATACAACAACAAAGGAGAACTACTGAGTTGTAAGCTCCTGACTGTGAGACTTCCTTCAGTTTCTGACAGCTAGTTCAAAGCCAATAACAACTAATGAAACAAACTGTTTTACAAATAATTCAATAGGCAATACTTTTATTGTGAAAGCTATTTACATATAGAATGATTGGTTGAGTTGCAGAGGACGATGGGCACAGTGTAGGTAGAGTTATTTGCAACTTAAAGATGTATCAAAAGCACTGGTTTGAAACCCGTTCAGGGTAGGAATTATATATATTTACTTTTTTAGCTAACAATGTTAGATATGCAAATTTGTCAGTCCAAGGTATGTCCTCCACTCCGTAGGAATTGGAAGAACTTTTAAATGTAACATCGAAGCAATCTTGCATCTATCATATCAAGCATCCTGGACAACCCTTAGACAGACAAAACTATAGAAATATTCTCTTTCTTACCTTTTTGTCTTCATAAATAAAATATCCTCTTTTACTTTGGTAAAATAACATATTCTTTACATATTTCAATAAAATTAAACCATGTCTAGCAAATTGAATCCTCAGCGTATCCGCATTCGTTACAAATTGAAAATTTTATCATCAATGATCTTTTTTACTGAGTTAACAAAAAATGATTCACTAAAAGAAAATTTTAAATCAATTTATTTGAAAGTAAAGTTAATTAGTTTTATGTCCGATCTTAAAGATTTTCAATAGTCAATGTTAAAGGAAAATTTAACCAGGAAGAGGAAGAGAAAAACAACTATTTATTGATTTAAAGTTGGTAAATAGTAAGCAGTACATCCTTATATTACTAAAAGTTATAAAAAATGATTATGAAAGTTCTTTGACAAGTTTGAAAACAAAATACAAAGAAATTAAAAGATTTCTAACGAAACAGATGACACGGTCGACGTTAAAGCTAAAATAACTCAAAGTACCCTACATTCGCTCTTCGAAGATCAGTCGCAGAAAAAGGATGTGATGTTGGTGGTGGGGGAGTGATAAGCACCTACATTTAAGTCCAATTAATAAATCATAAAACTGTCAATCTGCTGCATCCATTGTTTTATCTAGAGCCTTTGCAGTGCTGTGTATATCCCAGCTCCTAGTATTGATTGCGCTTTTTTGTTTACTGCATAGTGTTTTTCTTGCTAAGCAGGTATTAATTAGTATACACACATGGTATAGTATTCATACCATTACGCGTGTCAGTTTTGTTTTTATCAGTATTCAATGCGCCAAAGAACAAAGTACCAGCGTAATCTATTATAGCTATACTGTGTGTCTATTTTATGCACTTGTTTTTTGCTTACTTCTATCAAGGAGGTTATATGAGACTCATATAACCTCCTTGCTTCTATATATCATTGAGAAATGATGTTTCTTGTTACACTTTTTACAGTTTACAGTTAGCGATACGGTGAGTGTCGTATGGTGCTCAGGAACTGTCTAACCTTTTGGAGCTTCTGAATTCACCCTCGATATTAAGATGGTTCGTGTTGCCCAGTCTGAAGTGTTATAGTATTTTGTGGACTTTCCGTCGTTTCTTTTTTGATGCAAAGGCGTTGTCATGTTTTATTGAATTATGAGTTTTGAATGTAATTTTGGTATCTTCCGTCTTAGCTTGGCAATAACTTCTTATATTATGATCCGCACCTCTGACATATTTCAGCTTTTTATATAGGCTTAGCCCTTTGCGCATACCCTTGTGGACTGCTGTGTTTTGTTGTGTTTTCTTTCTTATGATATTGTGTGATTGTTTCTGTGAAAACACATAGGTTTTTGCAATGGCTAAGGCTTTTAGTGTAATGTAAGCTCAGTCTCTTCATTTGATCTTTTCTCTTTAGTTTTTTAGAATTGTGTCCCCAACTCTAGATCCATCCTCTTCAAGACCGTTCTATTTGGTTTTCATACTGACAATCTTTGACTAAGACCTTTCAGTCAGTATCAACATTTCAAAATAGTCAGTCCACTTTTTTTGGACAAACATCTGACACAATTTCATATAACTATCAGATAAACAATAGTATGGTCGAAATATTTATTTTGGTTATCATATAGACGGGTACATTGAGTAAGTCATACAATTTACGTGATGTAGCATATACCCAAATACAATGTTTATTTACAGGAGATGTCTCGAGTTGGACTCATATTTCAAATGGTTAGTTTTCTTACCCACACGGGGTGTAAAAAGACTATCTGGTACGCGGATTTCTTTAATGTGTTATTGTAACGTGTAACATAAAGGTTGTTAATTCTGGGTTTTTTTTTAAAGATTTGATTGATAAAAAATAAGAATGATAGAATTATTTTATTCATTATTTTTCCTCAGAATACAAAAGCACCCTCTCTATACGTCTTGACCTGTCTGCATATTTCAGGTATGGTCAGCTCAGTAGAAAGTCTAATGATTTTTTTCATGTTTTTATAATCACTATGAATAATATGGAATTTGATGTATATTAACTAATCCTTGTAGTGTTCACATATACCTCTGATAGTGCTAAGAATCATAGAAAGGTGTCTACCTTCGTTGGTTTGACAGAGGGATATTAATGTACATCTTACCTTAACTGTCACTCTCATGTTTTTTTTTGTGACGTATCGGTGGAAAGATAATTTTTACACGAGTACAAATATGTAAAAGGTCTATATATTCGTTAAAAGGTTATGCCGATGGGCACAGTGTAGGTAGAGTTATTTGCAACTTAAAGATGTATCAAAAGCACTGGTTTGAATCCCGTTCAGGGTAGGAATTATATATATTTACTTTTTTAGCTAACAATGTTAGATATGCAAATTTGTCAGTCCAAGGTATGTACTCCACTCCGTAGGAATTGGAAGAACTTTTAAATGTAACATCGAAGCAATCTTGCATCTATCATATCAAGCATCCTGGACAACCCTTAGACAGACAAAACTATAGAAATATTCTCTTTCTTACCTTTTTGTCTTCATAAATAAAATATCCTCTTTTACTTTGGTAAAATAACATATTCTTTACATATTTCAATAAAATTAAACCATGTCTAGCAAATTGAATCCTCAGCGTATCCGCATTCGTTACAAATTGAAAATTTTATCATCAATGATCTTTTTTACTGAGTTAACAAAAAATGATTCACTAAAAGAAAATTTTAAATCAATTTATTTGAAAGTAAAGTTAATTAGTTTTATGTCCGATCTTAAAGATTTTCAATAGTCAATGTTAAAGGAAAATTTAACCAGGAAGAGGAAGAGAAAAACAACTATTTATTGATTTAAAGTTGGTAAATAGTAAGCAGTACATCCTTATATTACTAAAAGTTATAAAAAATGATTATGAAAGTTCTTTGACAAGTTTGAAAACAAAATACAAAGAAATTAAAAGATTTCTAACGAAACAGATGACACGGTCGACGTTAAAGCTAAAATAACTCAAAGTACCCTACATTCGCTCTTCGAAGATCAGTCGCAGAAAAAGGATGTGATGTTGGTGGTGGGGGAGTGATAAGCACCTACATTTAAGTCCAATTAATAAATCATAAAACTGTCAATCTGCTGCATCCATTGTTTTATCTAGAGCCTTTGCAGTGCTGTGTATATCCCAGCTCCTAGTATTGATTGCGCTTTTTTGTTTACTGCATAGTGTTTTTCTTGCTAAGCAGGTATTAATTAGTATACACACATGGTATAGTATTCATACCATTACGCGTGTCAGTTTTGTTTTTATCAGTATTCAATGCGCCAAAGAACAAAGTACCAGCGTAATCTATTATAGCTATACTGTGTGTCTATTTTATGCACTTGTTTTTTGCTTACTTCTATCAAGGAGGTTATATGAGACTCATATAACCTCCTTGCTTCTATATATCATTGAGAAATGATGTTTCTTGTTACACTTTTTACAGTTTACAGTTAGCGATACGGTGAGTGTCGTATGGTGCTCAGGAACTGTCTAACCTTTTGGAGCTTCTGAATTCACCCTCGATATTAAGATGGTTCGTGTTGCCCAGTCTGAAGTGTTATAGTATTTTGTGGACTTTCCGTCGTTTCTTTTTTGATGCAAAGGCGTTGTCATGTTTTTATTGAATTATGAGTTTTGAATGTAATTTTGGTATCTTCCGTCTTAGCTTGGCAATAACTTCTTATATTATGATCCGCACCTCTGACATATTTCAGCTTTTTATATAGGCTTAGCCCTTTGCGCATACCCTTGTGGACTGCTGTGTTTTGTTGTGTTTTCTTTCTTATGATATTGTGTGATTGTTTCTGTGAAAACACATAGGTTTTTGCAATGGCTAAGGCTTTTAGTGTAATGTAAGCTCAGTCCCTTCATTTGATCATTTCTCTTTAGTTTTTTAGAATTGTGTCCCCAACTCTAGATCCATCCTCTTCAAGACCGTTCTATTTGGTTTTCATACTGACAATCTTTGACTAAGACCTTTCAGTCAGTATCAACATTTCAAAATAGTCAGTCAACTTTTTTTGGACAATCATCTGACACAATTTCATATAACTATCAGATAAACAATAGTATGGTCGAAATATTTATTTTGGTTATCATATAGACGGGTACATTGAGTAAGTCATACAATTTACGTGATGTAGCATATACCCAAATACAATGTTTATTTACAGGAGATGTCTCGAGTTGGACTCATATTTCAAATGGCTAGTTTTCTTACCCACAAGGGGTGTAAAAAGACTATCTGGTACGCGGATTTCTTTAATGTGTTTTTGTAACGTGTAACATAAAGGTTGTTAATTCTGGTTTTTTTTTTAAAGATTTGATTGATAAAAAATAAGAATGATAGAATTATTTTATTCATTATTTTTCCTCAGAATACAAAAGCACCCTCTCTATACGTCTTGACCTGTCTGCATATTTCAGGTATGGTCAGCTCAGTAGAAAGTCTTATGATTTTTTTCATGTTTTTATAATCACTATGAATAATATGGAATTTGATGTATATTAACTAATCCTTGTAGTGTTAACATATACCTCTGATAGTGCTAAGAATCATAGAAAGGTGTCAACCTTCGTTGGTTTGACAGAGGGATATTAATGTACATCTTACCTTAACTGTCACTCTCATGTTTTTTTTTGTGACGTATCGGTGGAAAGATAATTTTTACACGAGTACAAATATGTAAAAGGTCTATATATTCGTTAAAAGGTTAAAAAAGAACCACCTCAAAGACAAAGGAAAACTAAAGGTACTTAAGAGCCGGTTGTCGCTCCCGTACGTCTATGTGTGCTTTTTCAACAATGGACACTCTTCAACATTGTAAACTAGAATATAAGTCATCACTAAAACATATTTTTTTTATCATATTGGTAGGTACGTTTTGCTGATTTTTGTTTTACAGTTCTTCTATCTTCTATCTTTTTTAATGAACACAAAACGTGTAAAAATTATCATGAATATCATCGATCCGCGTATTAAAGGAACAACGCATATAACCTATGGCAACATACGCATTCTCATTTCTGTATATAAAAAATAGTATGCAATAGTGATAAGTAATTCGCATTCTCCCTTAAAGAAAGATATCAAAACACAAGAAAAAAAAAAGATTTTAAGAGTTGTTATATATGTATAAAGTTAGATATAATATAAAAAAAGTTATTTCGTTCAGACGTACATGTAAGCATAATTATACTGTTAAACAGTTTAAAAAACAATGATTGGAGTAAGATTTGTATCACAAAAAAGTAAAACAACAAATTAAAAATACCGAAATACACGGAAAATTCAAAAATGTTAAAAAACTCAAACACATCGAATGAAACAAAACTGTCATATTCCTGACTTGGTACAGGTAATTCCTTGTGTAGAACATGATGGATTAAACCTGGTTTAAAACCTCTCACTTATATGATAGTCGCATACAATTTCACTATATTGACAACAATGTGTGAACGAAACAAACAGACATAATAGATAAAAAAAATGTACAAAATTGGGGTGCAGCAGTTAAAATTGTGTTTTAATCTTAATCAGTATAAACAAACAAATATGTTAACAACGCAAACCAAATGGCATATAGACAAAGCACATTGGCTAAAATGAAAGACAAGAGTTAACAAAATGATCATATCACATTAACACAATGGTGGGCTGTATAAGTAACGAGCCACGCCAAAAGGATATTAATAAAAATTGACTAAACAGTAAAATTAATAGTTTGCAAGCTAAGACAACAAAAAAAGACTCACTATAACACGTTATTTAGATGATAAACAACGTCAGTACCTAGAATCAAAACTTCAAGACCATTATGTATCATTTTGGAAGTTGAAACGGAAAATTTATCATCAAGGACTTAGTATCTTCGAATGAACTTTGTTTTTAATAACAGTCAGGAATTGAAAGAAACCCAGCAGGCACACAACGTTGAACCAACGTTGAAAAAATGTTGAAATTTGGTTGTAGCGTTGATCAACGTAAAATCAACGTTGTATCAACGTCAATCCTATCAACGTTTAAATCACGTTGTTGAATCAACGTTGATTTGTGGTTAGAAATATCAACGTTGAACTGTCAACGTTGAATCAACATTGAATTTAAGTTGATGCTTTCAATGCTTTAATTGGTTGAAAATATAACGTTGATAAAAGGTTTAGTTAAGGTTGATGACTTTAAGTGTCGACCAAAGTATCATACAAGATGAGATTGAACCAACTTTGTATAGTCCTTTTAGCTAAAATAATCACTTTTTATTTATATAAGTTTACTGATGTTTTTGAATTAATTCAATTATTACTGTTGCATATATAAATTAATCTTTAAATTGCGATAAAATATTATAATTACTCGAAACGGATATCTTTTTCTGAGTGGCGCATGCGTATGAGGCCGACATTTCGAATTTATTTGCGCCAATTTGATTACCACATCAAGTTAACAGCTGCTCTCAGCAGTGCAAAGTAAGTATAATTTTCATTTATTGTTTGATTTGATAATAGTTATATGATAATTTAATGTATACAATAGTGTAGCTGTAATTATATGACTATAGTGATTTAAGCAGATCAGAAATAATTTATAATTATACACGTAGTTGTCATATTCCAGCAGATAAGATACACACATATTGTTTAGGTCTCTGGGAACATCAGTGTTGACCTTAGATATATTTGTACATTTATTGGGTGAGGCAACTTATTATGTAAAGACTTGAAAAAGAGGGAGTGTGTTTATGAACAATGATTAGGTAATTAAAAACAAAAGCGTATGGCAAAGGATTCTATCATTGCAGATATTGGGAGGGTGGAGTCAAAATATATCATGGAACATCGGATGAAATTGAAGAATTTATTCGTCTGACAAATAATGATAATCAATTATATTGAAGTTCACATATGTTCTTTTACATGTTTTATATGTTGATAAATAATTAAAAGTCAAAGATTTACAACACATGGCATTCTTGACCTTGCAACACATTTAAAACAAACAATTTGTTTTCTCTGGGTCAGAATTAACAGATGTCACTCACAGCATGTATTCCCAGGATTTATTAATGAAGCAGTACGGCAGATAAGAAACATGTGTGATCATAACAAATTAATACACAATGATCTGACTAATTTCAAAGTGGTTTATATGATAACGTCGAAATAGATGTTCTTTCAGTTGACCGTATTGAATTATTACAGCGCAAAAAAATCAAGGAAATAGAAAATATTCCTTAAGTTTCAATATCTAAAAAACTTAATCCATATGCATGTTAACGTAAACTTAAATAAGACGTAACACAAAAGACTGGAATTTATTGAAGTTTGAAGAAAAATGTAAACACAGGTTCAAAGTTGAACTACTTCTTGCGTTTAGCAACCATGCCGAAAGTATCTATTGATGAAGAATTTAGATGTAAAAATATATTAATATAGTTAATTATACGGGAATAATATTTATTTTGAATTATATTAAAGTAAAGCATCTTAAGATGACCATCCAAAGCTTTATATATCAGCCGAAACACTAAAAAAAAAAGTAAATATAGGGACATTCTTGTATCTTAAGAGGAGTGACTGTCAAGATCTCGGTGCTTGTGGTGCATTATTGTTTCGCAAGATGAGTGACTGTCAAGATCTTGGTGCTTGTGGTGCATTTTTGTATCTCAAGATGAGTGACTGACCAGATCTCGGTGCTTGTGGTGCATTATTGTTTCTCAAGATGAGTGACTGTCAAGATCTCGGTGCTTGTGATGCATTATTGATTCTCAAGATAAGTGACTGTCAATATCTTGTTGCCTGTGGTGCATTATTGTTTCTCAAGATAAGTGACGGTCAAGATAAATAAAATTGAAACCCCATTAGCGTATTGTGAGATCTTCAAACTATAATTTAGGATTAAATAAGTTATAATTAAAGCCCTTGATTCTCAGAGGCAGAGCTGGGGACGGTGCCGGGCACCCCTTTTGAGGGAAAACATGGTTGATTATATAAGGAATCAATGAAACATGACTGGAGCGGCCCCCCTTATGCAGTCAGTGGACCCCCTTATGAAAATTTATGGATCCGCTACTGATTCCAGAATCTTGTTGGATTATGGAGGTCAAATTTAACGTCATGCTACAATAAAAATAATTGAACCATAAGGTTTTCAAACAATTTATGAAAGGTTTTGGAAGTCAAAATTTTGTAAGCGTTTCACACATATGAAACTTTTTATTTTCAAGTTAAAGAGGGAGTTGACAATTTAGAAATGCTGCACTTAAAATTTTTTTTTTTGTAGATGTCTTACAAATAAACCCGTGTCGGAAATTACATATTACCGGGTATAAAGAATAAACATGTCTTCGGTGATTCAAGCTAGTTTGAAATAATAAGAGGTGAGTATTGAAATAATATATATCATTGTTTTTCCATATTCAAATTGTGTGAGATTTTGTCACTTTGTCTCTAAAATCTTTGCTTTTTTTTAAGAAATATTTTTATTTTCTCATGTCTGAACTCAAGTTAAAAAAACACATGGTCGCTCTCAATAGATATTTAAAGAAATAACAATAGCATTGCACAGAGATTATTAGGGCCCCGCCTGTCTGTCCGTCTGTCCTTCCGTAACACATTGTGTCCTCTCTATATCCGTCCGTAACACACTGTGTCCTCTCTATATCTAGAGAACCTTTATGATTTCAAAGTTTATACTTGACATGTATATTAACCAACACCATTATTCACAACGGGGCCCACAGAGATGGCTCCCATCTCAATGATATCTAGTTTGTTCACATATAACAGTAGTATTCTTTATTAGAGCTGCATAATGATATTTACGAAGTTATGATAAAGATAGCACAATATGTTTTTTTTCTGTTGCAGATGCTGTAGTTACAAGTGACTAATGTGCAACAGAGACCACAATATGGAACTACTGTGCAAGATACCTAAAATATGCCCCTGTTATATCTGGGAATGTGTCTAGCAGTAGGACTAAACTTTTAAATAAAATTAATTGTTCAGTTTGTGTTTGTTTAAAATTGTAAGATGCATATGTGAGCAACTTGTTATATAATTACTGTTTTATGTCACAAACATATTTTGTGTATAAACAGAATAGTTATAAGCACACCAAGATCCTGTCTATAAAGAACAACAAAGTTACAAAAATGTATGCCAACTGACATTACAATAAAGTTTCCGATTATCTATGCCTGGTAAGGTTAACATGGTTAAAATTGTTCCTGTTCTTCTTGTCAAGTCTTGAATAATAATCATCAGATTCAGAAATGAGCGGTCTCCTTACCAGTATAACCGAAACAAAGAAAATGACTTATTTTCCACTTGATCATAAAATGTAGAGAAATTTAAAAAGAGAAATATTCGAACAGGCAAAAATTTCAATGACATAAATATTGAATTCTGCAACAGACTACATGTGTACATCAACCATCGACGCATGACTACTCCCACTTAGTACATATAGTTTTGCGATGGTTTTATTACACATAAAATAGTATTGATTGATATAATAAGGAGTAATGATTTCAGCTGTTATCGAACCTCAATTTAACCAATGTTCAACATCCTATTATCAACATTGACCACATTTCTAGTTTCAACTTAAATTAACCCTAAAACAGTCTACCTGGACCCAAATCCTACCCATTTTCAACATACACTGACCACAGTTCAACCAGCTTTCGACCTGATTTCAACATACACTGACCACAGTTCAACCAACATTCGACATGTTTTCAGCATACATTGACCACAGTTCAACCAGCTTTCGACCTGATTTCAACATACACTGACCACAGTTCAACCAGCATTCGACCTGATTTCAGCGTACACTTACTACAGTTCAACCAACATTCGACCTGATTTCAACATACACTAACCACAATTCAACCAGCAATCGACTTTTTTTCAACATACACTGACCAAATTTAGACCAAAATTCAACCTATTTTCAACGTTGAAAGCTGACGTTGAATCAACGTTATGTTTTCAACGTCATATCAATTTTCAATCCAACACTACTTTTCAACATTGATTCAAACGTTGAAATCTGACGTTTATTCAATGTTGAATCAACGTTGTTGTGCCTGCTGGGAAGAAGTTGATAAATAGAACCAATAAAATTATTTTCCTGAAGAATTTGATTTTGTATTTCATGCAATATCAATGTTGTCATTTTTTTTTAAATTATGCGTTTGCTTTATATTATAGATTGAAATATTTTTTATTTTATTTTGAAGTTCGCTCAATGCCTCGACAGTGCAGTTAACGTTGTCTTGCTTTCTTTTCTTGCATTTTCTTCTTCCTTCCAATTATTTGATTCATGTTGGTCATATCAAAGGTGAACTTCTATAAAATATATAACATATATATGTAATATATCTTATTTTTACTAATCTGAAAGGCTGTATTACAATCTAAAAAAATATAAGATACTTTTAAAGGCAATGAGGCTACAAAAACGGCAGTCAATAAATATTATAAAGGATAAAGGATAAAGCAAAAATATAATTTGATACGGCATTTTTCTTTCTTTAAAGACTGATCATGTTGAATCTCTTTGCAAAAAAAAAAAACGTGCCTCGCCATTGACACTTAATAGTAAATAATACAATGATTCACGAAATCGGTTGTACAAAATGGAAATAAATATTTCGCTAAATTTTAGTAAGTTGAACAATTTTTCCGATCCATATATAATATCCGAATATGTATTTGTATAGGGTAGCTTTTTGTAAATATGTATATGACAGACGCTTTTTTGCTAGCAAACAATAAAAACAAAATACTATTCCCATGTCTTGATGAAAACATTTTCAGCAAAAAAAGGGAAATGGTTCAATTTATGCCTTGACTGCAGACATACCTCTATTTTGTCATGCTTTGATAGAATAATTTGTTTAAAAGCAAAATTTTCCTATGAAATTATTATCATTGCATAAATTTTAAAAACTTACAAAAAGAAAAAACGTTAATTGATATAATCTCAAAAATTGTATTCGTCTTTGAATTTTGGTAATCTACTATAATCGATACACAAATCTAATCTGAAATGAGGGATGTGTCCATGGGACACAGAAGATACCCCTGCTTGCATATAACGTTATAAAGGGACATAACTCAAGAACTGTAAAAGTGACGCGACCCAAATTTGTGCTTGATCTGAGTTTCGTGGTAATAAGCATATACGTTTCATAACATTTAATTGAGGCAAAATTAAATTAGAGAACGGAAACTGAATTCAGCAATTTTTCAATTTGTTAAGGAGCATGACTCTAGAATGGTAAAAGTGACTCCACCAAAATTCGAACGTAATCTGTGTTTTGTCGTAACTAGCATTGTGCATAAGTTTCATTACATTTGGTTGAGGCAAACGAAAGTTAGAGAACGGAAACGAAATATTCAGCAATTTTTCCATTTGTAAAGGGGCATAATTCTAGAACGGGAAATTTGAGGCTACCAAAATTCAAACTTGATCTGTGTTTTGTGGCAATAAGCATTGTGTATAAGTTTCAAATCATTAGGTTGAGGCAAACTAAAGTTAGAGAACGGAAACGAAATATTCAGCAAATTTGTCATTTGTAAAGGGACATAACTCTAGAAAGGTAAAAGTGACCCCACCAAAATTCAAACTGGATCTGTGTTTTGTGGTAATGAGCATTGTGTATAAGTTTCATTATGTTTGGTTGAGGCAAACTGAAGTTAGAGAACGGAAACCAATTTTGGGACGTTCGGACAAGGATAAAACTTAATGCCCCCTCCTCTAGGGCGGGGGCATAAAAAAAACCATAATGTAAAACAAGAACATTTTTCATTTTCATCATCTATGAGACGGCTGGCATTTTTAGAAAGCTGTAACTTTTATTACATGTTCAATCCAGAATAATGAAAGTTCATCGGTTACCATGCAAGAGTTCAAACCCGACACTATGTGGAATTGAAAGACATTGACTAGATTTTGAATTGTGTCAATCAAACAATGGACTTGACTATTATAGAGTCAGTAATAACTTCAATCAGGTAAATGAAGTTTTGTCCGAAGACTGTGTATCGTTTAACTGGGTAATATCGTCTCCAAGGAGACAGTTATGATGTCAGGATTTTATGTTTTATGTGCAAGAGTGTTTCAATACAACTCTATTTTGCCTTTAAACATGCAGATTCCAAATCATGTATGTTATTGTTTTGTTTTGTGTCATCTCGTATTATAAGAAAAGGTGTTAAATACAAACACATGTATTTTTTGTTCATTCAGAACATGTCAATACTTTCGAGATATACAGGTTGTCATATTATATAAATAACTGTCCACACTGGAAGACTTATCAGTCATCTTTGGCATGTCATTATTCAACAAAAGCTTTCAGACGTTTCGATAGATAATACAAATTTCAATTCATTTGGTGAAGGTGAATGAAATCACCAGTCCCTCAAAAGTCTTTATAAACCAAATATGTTTTTGCACTCCAACAGAAATGTCAAATTATTTTAAAGGAAAACATTTGCTATAACATTATTCGTGAATGATTTGGATACCATGATATATTTAAAAAATGGAAACCTTTACTTCATTAGTTTTTCCGAGTAAACGTTTGCGACTTTACAAAAAAAAAGGGTGAGGGTCAGTTTAAAAGGATGTATTTTTTCAAATAGTAAGAACAACGTTAACGGCCGTCAAAACTATATCAAATGTATATACAAATATGAACACATATTTATTTTTTAATTTAACTATCTAGTATACCTCAATGAAAGTAATTGGCCATATAGGTTGAATTAAAATGCAAAACTGGCGACACAAATTATTTCAAAACAGTATTATTATTGAGTTTAAACAATGTCATGAAGTTTTTTTTGAAGTAAAATGTATTAATAGGAAAATAAATCATTCCAAAATAGATTAATAACTTTTAAAAGACATGTTAATGACTAGAACCGCCTTTTATCCGTTTAAAAATTGAGAAAGTATCGGTTGTTCGATCCCAAACTAAGTGACACAATATACACCATTTTCTTCTATGCAGGATAGTTTAACATCGCACTTAACATACGTAACTTTAATAAGTAATTGAGACCTCAAATGACTTTTGTATTGTTTGAACGTTATTACATGGTTCTGACCATTGGCTGTAATACATATGTTAACTTTGTCATGTTTGTACATGGAAAGTTTAGCAAATCTTGAAAATCAACATTGGTCTAAAGTTTCACCTTTGTGTTTAACGAACACGACACAATTCTGAAACCACAAATCTTATCATTCATTACGAATATGAATATTAAGGTTCGAAACATTTGACCTATTGTGTAATGGAAAAGAGTGGTGAACAAGTGTTTGTGTTCAACATGTAGCGTGCTTTTATCCAGCATCATTGGACATTTCAAAACATTTCGTATGTAGATTCGCTTTGGCCATATTAATTTAAAACTTGGGAACAAACAACAACTGTAACATCGGGGCGCCTCTTGGACAAATGTCAAATGAAAAGAACAGTTTGTCCTGCTGGTTGCAACTCTAAATATCTCTGAACAAATTTAAAAAAAAAAATGCCATCTCTGGTCTACAGTACTGTATTCAATTGCCATGATTACATGATCATGATGATTGTAGTCTATGGAAAGTTTCCGATTGTCCTGATTGTTCTGCCCTCCGGTCTGGTCTGAATAAATTTGATATCTGAACTAGGGTTCGCACTTATATCGCACTGCTGATGATAAAAAAACTTGTATGCGTAAATTTGTCCTTGTAATTAATGAATAAAATTTGAATCCCGGTAAAGGTTTACAGTGGTAGTATGGCAAGTTTTCCTTTACTTGGATATATTTTCTAAAGTGTACACGTACAGTAGTTTACCGATATCTATTTTTTTAAACAAAAACTACGGGAAATCCAAGAACTTCAAAAAGACTTCAGATCGGTTGCGTCAAAAGCATGCATCACGTGCCATGCGAATCAAAATTGACAACATGTAACAAACAGGAATTAATGGGAAACAAATGGTAAATTTTCAGATTTAATCTGGTACTAAGTATTTAAAGATCTTTAACCGCGAAAAGATGCTGCTAGTGAGTTGAGACATGATAAAGCTTAGAGGTAACATTATTCTTGATCATGTTGATGGTAACCATAAAACTTATTTTGCGTCTATTTCAGTCGACGGTATTTCCTCAAAATTCGGTACATATCACCAAATCTGTATGTGCACGTTAGACACATATGCGTCATATGTGGAGTAAAATCTGCTTCACCTTCCGAGGGCACACGAGATAACTCCTGGTTTTAAGTAAGGTTCATTGTGATCTTTAGTTTTCTATGGAGTGTTTTTTAATATTTTGTTTGTCTTTTCGTCGTTATCGACTTTTGCCATGACGTGTGTTATAGTGTCGTCGACTAATAGGTTTGATATCTATCAACTCAGTTTTAGGTAGTTTTATTTAAGGAGCACACTTCTGTTCCTGAATCCTGTACTGTGTCAACATGCACGATCAATAGGTACTAATAGAGATACATAAACACCTTACGATGGCCCAGAATATATAATATTATTGACAAATGGGGAAATTGACCATTGGAAAGCCGAAAATCATCATTCAAATTAAGTTTGTCATAGATTTTTGTTTGAAGTCGTCAATCTGTGTCAATATTAACGAAAAGGTCAAGATTTGAAGCAGTCATTGTAGTTTCGGTAGTATCCTATATCCAAAGCTCTCAGGGGTATATCATATGGAATGTAAGTACTAGCTGACGAGTGGGTTGTAGAGAGACAGGGAATCTTCAATATATCTGAACTTGGAATCTTATAACTAAGCAAAATCGTTTCTTTAGGTCTTTGAAAAAGGTGATACATTTCCAATTAGAATGCTGACTGTAAACACTGTTATGTTATGTTGACTTATGCATCATTCGTTTCTACTTTTATGATAAACAATTTCTAAACGAATCGAATGAACCAAAGTCAAAATCATCAGCGCACTTTCGAGTACCATATGTACACCTATCAACTGTGTCAAAATACCGCGAGCAACTGTAAGTGGTAACTAAAAGAATTATCTCACTTCTGCTTTTGAGAAAATATCACTTTTTAAGGGTTATACGTAATGTATGCCTGTTTGAAATGTTAAGGCAAGCTTCAACGAACTTCCCGGTTTTGTCATCTTTTTAGGATTTTGTCGGATCCCCATTTTTTAAATAAACAACTGAAAAACTTATTTTGCCTCTTTTATAAAATAAAGCTATATCAACACAACCTGACAAAAATATAACAGACACCCAAATAAATCAACGAAACAAAAAAACATCAACAAATACAAGTAAATCTTTGAGGAAAACTATGTATTCAGCCCAATCATGAACGATACACAACTTTCCTGAATTTTTAAAGTTCATGTAATTGAAAGTTTTTTTAAAATATCATTTTAAATGATCTTACCTCATAAAAACTTGTTTATATGAAAACAAATATTGCAATTTTATAAATTTATAGTAGTTGCGATACAATTTACTCATCAGCGCTTTTTTTATTATGTTGGAATCCTTTAAAACACAAAATGACCTCGTTCACAGTAATTTATACCTTCATAATTTATCATCAGAAGGTTTTTAGGATTAACCTTTTCGCCTAATGAATAAAGCAATATATTTGATGTTTGAATAAAAAAAAAACAGAAATATATTTGATTGCAAAAAGTCAAACTGCATGCCACTAATGATCTGCAATTGAGGTCAAATTTGCTAGCTAAACGCTATAATAAAAAAAATATGCACCATTTGACTATTTAACGACCAATCTTAACTTCAAGAAAAAAAACTGAAAATATATTCCACTTATATGTACAGATTCACCTGAAATCACTGTTTCCCTTAGGTGAATGTACATGCAGTTAAACAACATATGTTAACATATAAGGGACTTGCAAAACACTAAGTAGTAGATATTTATTTATAAACTAGATCGTTACAAATTGTACAAATTGCGAAGAATTGCCTGGAGAAGATAAATGATCATTAAAGTGTACAATATTCGTACACTGTAGGAAACTATAAAAGTTATTTGACCAGCTATACCAACAAAGAAAAGCGTGCCTCGAAGAGCATTTCTCCTGGTTCGAATCAAGGATAAATAATTTGTGTATTTTCCCACACTTTACATTTAGTTATTTTTATTCTGCAAAATATTGAGATTATGTGTATATAATTTTTCTTTCATCACAATCATTGAAATCGATTTTGAATGAAAGACCCGTCTAATTTGCATTTAATTGATTAATTCAACAACCTTTACCATTATCTTGTTGATATTTTTTCGTTAAATAATCACGAATTTTCTAAATATACTGCAGAAATTTACCCAAAGGAACTTAACTTTAAATAAATCAAATATGAACGACAATAACTGTCCTTTCCTAGATTCAGATATTTCAGTTTCACAAGGGAAACTCCACACTAAAATTTACGAAATAAGAGGACGATTTTAGTTTCCTATAGTTAATTTTCCTTCTTTTATACGATGCTGTTCCTTTGGCACCACATTTCGGTGTTTATATATCACAACTCGTTCGCTATGCCCGTGTCCGTATGTGACGGTTTGGATTTTAATGAACGTAATCTATGTATTGCTGGTGAATTATTAAGTCAGGGATTTCGTTACCACAAATTACTTAAAACCTTTACTGCTAGTAGATTCTTCCATTTATATAAAGATTTGGTTTGGAATTTTGGTAGTACCTGAAGAAAACTAATTTCAAACGGGATAACACATCCTCATTTTTACGAAGATGTTGTTAACCGTGCCCGGAAATTTAGAAACGATCCAGGTAAATTTATCGATCCTTTAAGTAAACTTATTCTAAAAGGTCACCAATTCAACACTGTAATAAGATCTTTGAATATTGTTTTTATTACATTAATAATGATTTTTTTATCAGTTAATTAATAGCAAACTAAATATTAGTGTTATATACATTTGCACATTCATGGCTCTACAATCTGTCGATATCTGTATCTTGACATTGCACAAGGTCATGTTTTTCTTTGACTATTTATGACGTCTTTACACTAAATCCATTGATATGTTGGATGTGTACTGATTGATAATTTAGTCTTGAATGCATGTTTTTATAAGTTGTTATTGGCTTTGAACTAGCTGTCAGTAACTGCGAGTACTCTCTGAGATGTACTAAGTGTCTTTTTGTTGTCGGGATGTACAAGTACCCGGCCACGTCCACTCTGTGCTTTTGTTCGATGTATTTCCATATGTATCCCTCTGATGAGTAAAAACTTGTTCAACTAATTTTTATAGTTTGTTCTTATGTTAAACTGTTACACCACTGTCCCAGGTTAAGGGGAGGGATGGGCGCCCGCTAACATGTTTAGCTAAGCCACATTCTGTATGTGCCTGTCCCAAGTCAGGAGCCTGTTGTCGTTTGTTGCTTTGTTACATATTTGTTTTTCGTTCATTATTATGTACATAGATTAGGAAGTTAGTTTTTTTCTTTTGAATTGTTTTACATTTGTCATTTCATGGCCTTTTATGGCTGACTATGCGGTATGGGCTTTGTCCTTCATTGAAGGCCGTACGGTGACCTATAGTTTTTAATTTCTGTGTCATTTGGTCTCCTGCGAAGAGTTGTCTCATTGGAAATCATACCACATCTTCTTTTTATATTAACCATTTTTGATGTTATTTACAATTCATTATACAGGTTATATTACCTTTTTTTCCATGTACATTTCTCAATTTACAAAATAGTAGAAATGTTGCTACTGCCAGACTAAAACAGATCGACAAACAAATCCAAATAATGGTGTACGTCATTAACTCATCTGTAATGAAAAACATAAATAAATTTTATAATAACAAAAATCATACTTGAGTGTATCAATAATTGAAAACAAGTATTGTGCACTGGTTACCTTTTAAAGGTAAAGTTGGAAGCCATGACATAATAATAATATGGTACTTCTGAACCTTTGTGTATTATTTTGACGTCCAATCAAATATGATTCGGCAGACTAATCGTTCTACGAAAGCACATTATTTCAGACAGTTGAAAAAAACAAAAACAATTCATGTCAAGATAACAGCTGATCTCAATTGAACTGACACTGACATGAATGATCTTATCAATATTTTTACTCAGGAAGATACTCTTCTTTCAATACAAAATGCAAACGGGCAGTTATTAAAATATTATGAAACAAATTTCCATATAAAAATTAAAGCAACAATACCGGTCATCAATAATGCAGTTTATGGGTACTGCAATAACATTGTTTGACTTTAAATTGATATAAAATTGGTATCTATTGCTGTACAAACGTGTTTGAAATGATATTCCTTATGACTAGAACAAACATTTGTTCCTTGGAAACGTTTATCAATAAACAATAGTGCACAGGCTGAAATGTATCACCTGCGTTTTCTAATATTAATTTTAGGTTGAAAATTGTTAAGAAAAAGGCCTAAATAATACAGGTATAGCAAAAACGTAACATTATCAATAATCCGCGTAAGTAAGAACAAGGTCAGATAACATCCTGAAATATTCTTCCCATGTCAAAGTTTTCTTATCAGCCGAGATATTGATGAGTGGCAACCTTTTTACAAGTGAGATCTGATCCTTTGAATCCAAAGTATAGAGGTATTAACCTTTATTAAACAAAATTAATATCCCTCTATTATATGTATTAGTCTGTTAGATATAATTTATTTAGATACCATTACTCATAAGCGTTTGGTTCTACGTTGGTCAAAACGCTTACATTTTTATAACTAATAAACACATATTTAGAGAAAAAAAATTTCCAACAGCAGGACTCACATTGTTAATCGATGGAATTTGAAATGTTGACCTTTAACTGTTTCTCGTAATCACTGATGGCAACAAAACACTAACATTCTAAAACTGTATCTAAAAATGCAAAAGTCATTTACCACCATTAACATTCCATTTATATGTACGTATAGTAATTACAAATTACTTTAAACATTTACCAATTATTGGTTCACATTTTATATGTAATTACTGTGACACTGAAAAAGACGAAGTGTTGGCTTTTGCCTTTATCACAATGATGTACAAATATATTGTCGACCTTTTATAAAGTCAAATAATACACTCAATACATACATTCAGTTGTAAAGATGTTTATCTTTGATTCTCTCATATGTTGCGTATCATTGTTTATCAGATGTGCATGCATATACTGTGGTATTCTGTTTCGTTCTTATTGAATATATATATTCATGACCTTTTTTTCTAAATGGAAGTCGCATTGAAGTCCATTGATCTGTTTAATATCTTTAAAAAGAATTGAATTAACAACATGGACAAACAAAAATCGTTTGCTGCATTATTGTGATTTAACAGGGATAAGTGTATTTTGGGGAATCATAAAAAAAATGTAGGCTCTTAGGAGCTTGCATTGCTCCACTTGCAATTGTTACAAATCAATTGCTCAATATAAGATAACTAGACTAAATGGAAAATTTTGCTGCTGGAGTCAGTGGTTGCATAAATCATGTGCATATTTTTAAAACTCCTGGTAGTGTCAGGAGAAGATATTTTTAAAAATTGGCCTATCAAAACAAAAGATGGTCATTGTTGATAATGTTTTCCTTTCAATTTGAAGAAATTGAAAAGTTATTTTTTAAAGACAATCACATGATTATTTGCCAAGTTGGGTTCACATATTCAAATCAAAATTCAAAAGTAACATATTGTGATGGTAAGTATTGAAAACAATATTACTGTTATAATTACATAGAAAGATATATAAATTGGTTTTTTTTCATAAAACAGTTAAAAAAAATATTGTTTAAACACAGAATACCAATAGCTATAATGGCTCGCATGACTGCAGCATGATACGACTGCAGATTTCGAACCATGAACAGTTAGGGCACGTTTAGACACTACATTAAAGCTTCATAAAGCTCTGGGACTCTTTTCACAAAAAAATCTTACTGCGAAAAATTATCTCACATTATACTGAAATGTTCATAACTTACGAGTATTTTTTCTCGTAAGCTGTTTTATGAAATCTTTCGCTGAATTTGGATTGTGGTTAAATATTACACACAGAATGACACAGAATGAATGTTGTCAAAGTATTAAACAATTAATATTGGACTTGTACCTACATGTATCATGGTCCAATATCCAAAATTTATATACACAGTTTGATTCAGCATATCAAAGTACACCAAAAAAATTATCAATTTTTTTTTATCAATGAACAATATTAAATATGCATATACTTACAATGTCTACCAATTGTGCAATACGGCTATGAATTGGGATTGTGATTGAATATTTGACATAGCGAAGGTTTCTAACCAAGAATGAATGTGGTCTTAGAACTTAAAAAATTACATTGGACAGTTTCCTATACATGGTTAGATTCAGTATATCAAAGAACCTAAAGAATTAGATTTTTGATGAAATCAAAGAGTTTAATTTTGGACCCTTTGGACCTCAATGGATCAATTTGATAATAAAAAAACCCATTATATTCAATTTTTGTTAAAAGCAAACAAAGTTTCATTTTGACCCCGATTTGAAACAACTTGAAAACTAAGCCAAAAATCAAAACTCTAAAGACATTAAAAACGGGTCCCAAAATCCAAAATCTATTTGTACACGGTTATATTCCGCATATTAAATAACCCCAAGAATTCAAGACTTCAAATTAAACACCAATGAAGTTAATCAAATTATACAAAGTTTTAGAAAAGTATTGTTTTCGGTCCCTTTTTCCGAAATGTGAAGAGATATAACCCCCAAAATCAATCCAATCATTCCGTTTGAAAAGAGAGACGAAGGATACCAAAGGGACATTCAAACTTATAAGTCGAAAATAAACCGACAAGGTAATATCTAAAAAAAAAGACAAACAAACAAACAACAGTTCACAAAAAACATACAAAATTAAAGATTGAGGTATACCCTTGTGATACAATTTCATAGAGATCCATACACTTATACTCAAGTTATTGTCCGAAAGCCCAAAAATCTAGTTTTACCCCCCTTTTTGGCCCCTTATTCCGAAACGGTTTTGGCCATAACTACCAAAATCAATCCCATCCTTTCTTTTGAGGTATGAAACCTTGTGGTTCAATTTCATCATTTAAATTATACACAAGTCCTCAAACAAGAAAAATGCTTGTCTATTACCCCCTTTTGGCCCTAAGTCATAAACAGTTAGAACAATAACCCCCGACACTTATATTCAAGTTATTGTCTGGAAACCAAATGTCTTTGGACAACGGCGATGACGACGACAACGTTATACCGTTATACAACCGCAACGATTAACCTGTCGTAAAACAATGTGAATTGTATGAACAAAATATATTTTCATACATTTCTCCAATTCTTACAAAATTTATCCTTTTCCTGACCTGTTGATTATTTTTTTTTATTTAATCAACGTGTGATTCGTTTGATCTCAGTTTTTCATTGGTCGAAATTCGATTCAAATTTTTCGACCATACCTGATAACGTCACATAGAAAGAACACATCTTTTTGCAGATCACTCAAAAACCAGGATTGAGTTTGTCTGCATATCAGTCAAAATTCATTAGAGATACAGATTCCACCATCAAATCTTGTGCAATACGATATTTATCCACTATCGACAGTTACATTTTAAATTTTTGAAACGCTCTGCTAGCCTCACGTTTTAAATTTGAAGATTTAACTGTCTTGAGTGGATATATATCTATCATACTCGATACAGTGGTAGAATCTATATTATTATATATCTTCAGTTAATTTTATTTACAAGAAAAATTGTATACCTTTCACTTGACACATCGCCTCCTTATTAACTGGTATCGGATGATTATCTATTAACTGGCAAGTAACTTCCAAATTGTCATTGCAGTTTATTGAATTATCGGCCTGGTAGACCATATACACTTCATAATAAATGTCATGTCTATGGTGCTTCACAATATCGAAGGGTATACGTAAACCCTAAAATAATATTTTGTATGGCTATCATTCAGTTACAATATATAAAATTATGTAAAACCACAATATTTAAGATCAAAAGCATCCTGAAGAGAAACATTTCTGTAATAACACGAAAAAAGATATAAAGTGCTTGCATATAGTACATATGACAAAAACGTCACGAAAGCTTTTCAGTAAAAACTTTCAAATAACTGTTACAAATGTCCCATGAATATACTTTTATTATTTAATCTAGAGGTACTGCAAGCAAGCTATCAAAATGATAATCGAGCACCTTGCAACGTCTGCGATTTTCATATCTTGACTTAGATCTAGACATTGACAATGAAGGTCGGTTAAAAACCAAAAAAAAGAGAAGATTTAAGCTTCCCAATTGTGAACTTTCTATTTACATTTCAATTATATGTCTCGGAATTATCTCCTTTATGATATTGCAGAGCTTATAGTTCCTAGTATGATGTCCTTGATAGAGGTTACTGTTTACAAGGAAGCTAATTTACCAAAGGTTCTAAGTGTTAATCTTAAAACTTCACTGCGAAAACTTTACTGACGACACCACGAGTTGGTTGGCCATTTTGGAATATCTGTTTCACAGATGATAACGAATATGTTCCAATTGTCGTAACCAAGATCCCGTCCTTTTTTCCGGTGATGTGACTTATCGAATTGAGACTTATAAACGGGGTTTGTACTTACATGAACAACACAACGACAGACACAAATGAGCATGATCCGCTAACTCTTCTGGATCAACTGAGATCCTCCCGCTGTTTGGTGGGGTTCGTGTTGCCTAATCTTAAGTTTTCATGTTGTATTTTGTATACAGTTGTTTTTCTTTTACGTCTTTTTCGTTGTTGTTTTTTGCCATTGCATTATCAGCTTGTTTTGACTTATGAGTTTAAAGAACCCTTTGGTCACATTTGCCCGTCTCTCACAACTAGTTACATGTTATTTTAACCCATATCTTTGTTTCTCACAGATTTAGCACTATCAACGAGTAATGCACCAATATGCAAAGTCGACACAAATGAACTCATTACTTTATAATTGTGTGAAGTGTAAAGCCGACAAAGAGTGCACATTTCCTCAAAAATATCTCCTTTCAAATATGAACGATTAAATCATACCTAAGGGATGTAGAGTATACAAGGTCTTCAAAGCATATCGAAGTTTGTTTTAGATTATCGATAGGTTTTCAAACAAATGGATGTGTCTCAGCTACAATCTCATCGAAGGGCAACAGCCTTGAGAGGAGATCTGGCTGAAAAACATTCTCGAGTTTTAAATAATATAGAAAATCTGTTTATCGTTATTTTGATAATTTTCTATCTCAAGAGAGAAGCCTGATATGAAAAATTATCACAAACAAAAAGATCAAAGAAAAAATACACAAAACAGCGATAAATCAAAATATTAATTAACTCACCTCTATTGCTACCGTACAGTTTGGCATTGGATAAACCTTTTTTAAATGCAGAAGTATTGTAATACTTCCATCAGATACGTTGGTTTGCATTAAAGCTCTTGTGTCGCTTGGTGGTAGATCTAAAATTGTTATTAAAACAAATCATTCTGCCAGTTCTAATATTGTCATATTAGAATTACCTATATTTCATTTTTCACACAATGTCGATGCACCTTGTTAATCTTTCTTTGCCTTTTCTTACTGTTATTTCTAAGGGCAAATTATTGGTCGACAAAAAGAGGAGTTCGGTACACCTAGATGCGACAAACATACGATTTGCAATTAAAACAAGCACGCACCATGTAATATTTTGAACTGTTCAAATATTGTGACATTTTAACTGTTACCACTAAACACAAAACACGAAAATGAAAAACATCTAGCCTTTGTCAGTCTTGTATTATTTTTAATTTTAGTTTCTTGTGTACAATTTGGAGTTTAGTATGGCGTTCATTATCACTGAACTAGTATATATATTTGTTTAGGGGCCAGCTGAAGGACGCCTCCGGGTGCGGGAATTTTTCGCTGCATTGAAGACCTGTTGGTGACCTTCTGCTGTTGTCTATTCTATGGTCGGATTGTTGTTTCTTTGACACATTCCCCATTTCCATTCTCAATTTTATTATTTCCCTACTGCCCAATATTCATCTTTACCAATAGCCATATGATCATGAGGATTGTGGTTCCATAGTAAATAAGAGTTAATATCTGAAATCTGAACCCAGTCTAATGGAAATTAAGCTTTATCATGTTTAATAACTCAAACAAAGCCACAGAACAATGAAAGATCATGTGACCTTCAATTCAAAGCTGTCAGCCTGTCAAACGGTATATATACATACCTAATACTAATACTGCAATGTAATTGTTCAATTTATAATATTCTTACCAAATACAAAACAAAAAATTCTGAATAGATATATATGACAAAATTAAATGTCGGGTAATTCCACTGCTTAGAAGAATATTTTCCGGACTAGTAAATCAAATTGCAAAATATTACTTAATATAAGTGTGATAACTTTTTTCTTATAAAATGGTACCAATTATTTAAGCAACATTGATGATATCTCGGTCAATAACTGCAGCTCTTGATAATTGTCTTTCTCAAGTGAATATATTTCTAGAATTTGTATAAAAATTCCGGAAATAATAAATGTATGCTACCTTACTGCTTCAACATTTTCATATACAAATAAAAAAATCTTTGGTATTAAATTATTATCTTTAATGAAATGACTAACAGGGGAAATTGACCTGATAAACTTATCCCTGTTAGAAATCACGATCGAGAGTTTCTCTAATCAACGTCATTTAGAACAGTTCTACCCTAGAAATAAACTCATATGTTTTTTTTTTCTTTTGATACTTACATTCAAAATTATGCTTTGATATTTCTATACCCTTTGTTTGTGTGTCAAAACTATAACGACATTGGTATTTACACCGTAGGTCTGACTCTGTCACGTTGTTTATCTGAAGTTCGAATTGATTCCCATTTTTTAATAATTCTGTATACTTATTTGGGTTTATTGGATGACCATTATAGCAGATAAGTTCTGGGCCTTTTGTCCATTGTCTGATGAGTCCTCTGTTTATAGTATCTACACCGGCAACAGTACAAATTAAAGATAGCGTCTCTCCTAAACGTATAACCTCTGGTCTAAATATCAAAGATACTGCAAGAATAAAAATGATTATATTGATAGTCCATCACAGTTTCTCAATCGTTTATTTTTAATTTAAATTCCAGTGCTAATTTTTTTAAAGTTTCTATGGATCCATTATTATAATATTATTCAAATTATAGAAGTAGCATTTAGTTATCCTTTTAAAATTCATAACTTATGTAACAATGCTACCACAATCCACAATACACAAAAAGGGACAGTAAGAAAGTTTTATTGTTTTAGTAATACAATTTTATAGTATCCGTAAATAGAAATAGAAATAATAGTTCCAATTAAGTGTTCACTTGTTAAAATGTTGACTATGAAATGTAGATGAGGGATTTAATAAACTCTGATACTTAATATTGCATTTAATATTAGAACTTAAATGTTCATGAGACTATGACGTTGCAAATCGAAATTTCGTGTGTTCGCAAAAGAGAAATAATTTGGCGAAAAATATCTAAAATATGGAAAACAAAATATTGTTTTTGCGAAAAGGGTAAAGAAATGGAAAATTGACCTTGGGAAATCCTGCTCGAAGTATACAGTAGTCATACATTTTAGAGCTAGCTTATTCATGTATAAATTGTGGAAAATTTTGGATATTCTTAAAAAAAATAACCACCAAGCCCATGTTATCCAGTATGTTTTATTTTCAGTAATCTCTGCTTTGATGGTGATTGTAAAATTCAATTATTGTATTGTATTGTATTGTATTGGATTTACATATTTTTATATTTGTAAACACTAGACACAGCTATTTTCACAATGTATATGCAATACTAGTACAAACCATTTGCAACCACTGTTATGATACTTGTATATATTATAGCTGACCGGTAAATATATGATCTTGCCATTTAGTGTTCCTGCTAAAACGATAAACGGATAACCTTTGTGTAATTCACAGCAGACAACATTAATTGCAGCAATAACATTAGCGGTAACAATTTTACTGATCCAGATGAACATTTCGACAATGCATGTAACTTCAGGGATGCTCGAGGTCAAAATAAAATAAAATCCAAAAACTATTATGCAAACGTTGAAGAGCTGATCAAGCAAAAAGTGATCTAAAGTATAGCCAAATAAAACGAATTTAAACAAAATAGTAAACATGAGCTTGATGCATTAACCAAAAAATGCGATTAACATACTCACATGAAGAAGAAATAAACAGGACCAATTTGAACAGATGTGCACCAAGCCATCTCAGAATTTACAACTTTTTTAGCTACATTTCATTTCAGTTTTGTCAATATACAAAATAGTTCTCTTTTTCATCAGATTGTGAAAAAATTAAGTTAAGATATGATCCCTACGAATATGATCATCATCTAAACATTTTAGTTGCTAAAATGTTAACTGAAGTGCAAAACTTATCCTAAGCCATTCATCAACATAAATGTTAATGTCTCTCCTCGAAGATGATGATTAGTAAGCTCAACTCTGTCACGTCTATGACTTATACATAACGGGGACGGACATACAAACGGAAGACTATTAATCCTACCTAGGTAAATTGGGCAAGTGAATCAAAATAAAAATCAAGATGAGGGGTAAAGATTGATTTTATCTGCACACTCAACTTATAATAAAACATTGCATAGTGTTAGATATCGTGTTATATTCCTTTATCTATTATTGTCATTCATACGCAATGTATATGTTCTGCAATTTATGTAATTTTAATGAAATGCTTTTCTTGACAAGTATTGAAATACACATAGACACCATTGTGTAAAAAGTAAAATAACAAAAATACTAAACTCTAAGGAAAATTCTAAACGAACAGTCTCCTCAGGCATTGCCCTTTGTAGAAAATGGTGGATTAAACCTGCTTTTATGGCTAGCTAAACCTCTTACTTGTATGACATTCGCATAGATTCCATTATATAAACAACATCGTGTGAGCAAAACAAACAGATATAATATAAGGTAAAATTTACACAACAAAATGGGGTACAGCAGTCAACATAGAGCTTAATCTTAATCACTATAACAACACACAACTATGCCAACAAAGAAAAACAAAATGGCATATAGACACTCCATAGACAGAGAACATAAGCAAATGAAAGACAAGAGTACAAAACATTACCATAGCTCAAACTGAACATCTTATTATACATCATTCATTAATTCCTTAACATGGGCGTGGCTAGCATGAAAAGAAAGTTCACTTGTTGAATTATTTTGTATGTACTCACGAACACGGACAGAAAAGTGACTGACTATAGCTCACTATGCCTGTACCAAATCAGGAATATGACAGTTGTTTTCCATTCGTTTGATATGTTTGAGCCTCAGAGGTTTAAGCTTTTGATTTTGCCATTTGATGAAGGACTTTCCGTTTTGAATTTTCCTTGGAGTTCGGTATATTTTTTATTTTACTTTTTACTAACAATCGACAATAGATATTCGATTGCATCTTATGCATCAAAATCAAAAATTTGTCCGCAACTTGGGAGTATTATATTTTGATATTTAACATTGAAACCAAGTTGGTAAAAACCCTAACCCATATTTGGCATATTGGCTAGAATTTAAGAATGGGAAATTTTATTTTTCTTGTGTCAACGCCCTATTTGTGTGTAGTTGCAGTCATAGATTTAAATACGTTTTGTGTACATGTATCGTTACTCGTAACGATCCAGCGCCCTCGTGGGAAAAATCGTTGACTATTATTCAGACGTTTTATATATATATATATATAACAATATATAAACCTTACATAATGTTGCGTACAACAACATAATTCATAAATTTGGGTGACATTTTTAATTTATATTAAAATGTTAAAATAGTTTTTACTCTTAATTGGTGAATTTTTGTACTTGTATACTGTATGTCGGTTCTAGAGAATCCATTGTTAAGTTGTTTTATTTTAAATACATAAAGGTTTAACAACGTAATTGATGCCTAATGAAACTGTAACCTTTGTCTGTAACAAATAAAACTGTCCATTTATCACTAGTTTACAGAAAAAATGAAAAAAAATTATGTTCATAATTTTGCTCTGGAAACCGTCTTTTGATCATGGCAAAGCATCTGTATAAAATCTTATATAACAAAATAATTGAAAGTAGGATTGCATATAATCGTTACACAAATTTTTTTCATGCTAGAATAAATCAAACGGGGATATATCATCTATAGCAGTTGAAAAGCTCAACTATTTAATTTCCGGATAATCCGTGTAGACAACGTTCCTGTTGTAGAACCAAAAGGAGCATACAGTGTAAAAATAGATCCGTCAAATTAATTTTCAAATGGGTATGTTCATGTAACGTTGCCAAATATATTTTTAATTAGCTGTTTAATCTATGGATTTTGATATGTCAATCTTGCATACTGAGGTGGCATACATCAAATGAAGATTTATTTATTTTTTCAAGATGTTTATTCACAAATCTTTTTATATAAAAAAAAAACATTGGCCCCATCAAATAAGAAAAAGCAATATTAAATAGTCTACTTTTGAAACAAAAATCAGCTAGCACAGAATGCACAAGTGTATTAATATAGACACCAACCATACATGCATCTTTGCATCATTTCTGTTCACACTACACAACGTGATATAATTCTAAATCAAATGCAAATGTTAAAAAACATACCTCAGCATCACTTTATACCAAAGAAAACTTAAATTCAATTTTATATCAATAAGTTATGAATAAATAAGATAATATTGGTGTCAATATAACACACGCCCTATTTCATATAGATATACGAAATGAAACAGGATATATATTCCAAATTCACCATTACATTCAAATATCTGGCTAGAAGAACAAAGCAGTAACTTAAAGCAAATTACAAAATGAACAAAGGTGATCTAATTTATTGCTTCAATGGTTTTGCACTTGTTTCTTTCCAATATACAATTAAACATTGTATAACATCGACATGCATGTTTGTACTAAGTTGATAAGATCACAATGTCATGGGGAATTACTTTAAATCAAATCTTTGATCTGATACAGACACAGACTATGATAGGGCGATGCAAAAAAAAAACAAAGGAACAGCACGAAAAATGTTAAGTACGTATTTTGTATTACCACTCAGGGGTAAAATATGTACAAGAAATGTATTATATAAATGTAAAGTCATGTTCATTAACATACATCATGTACATTATCAAATTGAAAGATTTGCAATAGGAAAATAATCTTGATAACTAAGGGAGATTACACTTCCTCCAACATTAGTAAATTGTACCACTTACTGTAACTGAAATAACTTCACTTGCAAAATTATTCCCCCTGATTGAACAAGATCATTTATTTGTTTTAATCTTTATTTTCTATTAGACAGTAATGTTAGGATTAAATGCTTTTCCTGTACTGGTTTTCATTTGTAAACGCTTATATACCTTTTGTTAGTTCCATAGTAGGAAGCACATTTGTTTGTATAATTGTATTCTCCTTAAGAATGTCACTGTAAACTCTACATTTTTGTCAAAATTGCTAGGGTAGTCCTTTTTGTTTCCTGTTTATGCATTGTTTAGCATTACAAGAAAGTTTTCTTTTATCAATAATTTCATAATTTCTATGTATTTTCAACAGATCTAGATGTAAACTCCTTATCTAAGTTAAAGACCAATAAAAAAATTAAGGAATAAATATATACTTTACAAACAAATGGAGGAAAATATAACTTTACTCATTAAGTATCAAAACAAGGAAACAAAATAAAAAACACAAAGAATTTTTTTTTTTCTAAAAATAGAAGAAGGAAAAAATTTGGGTAAGTTTTAAAGTTTATATTAAGAGCCTTCAAAAGAATTGCCCACCTTGCAAAAATACACCATTTGATATTGTTACTTTTAACTTTTCCGGAATCTTTTTTTTCTGTAAATTACTTACTTATTTTCACATAGGCAGCTTTTCGTATGCTTTCAAGTTCAAGTAAATCAAGGCCGTACATTATATTTTCTTCATGTTCCAGGATCACAAGACGTTTCAAGCCTCTTCAAAAACAACCCCCCTTCGTTAAGCATCATTACAGTACTACTGTCATCTATTGACTAGTTATCTCTATACATTACAGTTTTCATGATTAATACATAAAAACAATTGAAAATTTCATAAAAATTAAAGGGTACACACTCTAATAAAACAGCTAATTGACAAGTTTGGCTCTATTATGTAACTATAATGTATAATAATTTTCAAGAAAACAACAAACACCATTAACAATTGTAAAAGATCATAATCATGATAACTTAAAGTCATATGAAACGAGTTGCAATTGATTATAATGTTCAAAAAGATTTAACCAATGCATGCGTATACAGTATTCTAAACTTATTATAAGTTCTCTGTGCACTTTCTTACCATATAGTAGGAACCAATAACGTATAATCGACAAACAAAATAAATCCATCGGTAAGTGTTTAGGGTTTTTACAGTCGTGACTCTGATAAATACACAGAAAGGTAAGCCCGGGTATACTTAATTAGTTTCGATGATCATGATGATAGATCGATGTTCATTTATTTTTTATCTATATTTTCAACGTGCTCCTATTTGTTAATTAAACTTTGTCATCTATATAGCAGTTGTTAAGTGATTTGGTGTAATAAAAGTTTTGTTTCAGAATTTGTAAAAACTGCCTTATGGCCTATTTTTTGTTATTTACTTCCCTTGCAGGTTTTCCCCTTCTCAATTTGCAGAATTTCTAACGAGAGGGGTCATGTAAGGGACACTGCATACAGAAAAGCTGTGGACGAATTAAACTACGGAAGGACAATAATTTAACAGTTATTTTCCTGTATATTCGAATACATAAGGAATTTATTTTATAAAAAAGGTCTTTGTACATGTGTTTTATACTACAAATTAACCATTCACTTTCACAAAACATATACATCTTTTTGTCAAATTTGAAGGATCTTAACTTAAATTAAAGGCTTTAATATATCCTAGAAGGAATCAGTTGTACGTCTAGCTCTATGGTTTAGCTGATAATTGTTGCTGTACCATTGTTCTGCCTAGCTATTATAGTTTTAAAACTTGTCGAAAATAGCCAAATTAGGTAAATAATGATTACAATTATACTATTACTAAAAATCAGCCCTAGATCTGCAGGTATAACAAAAAAATTCAGGACGATTGTTTGATTTCAGATTAGATGAAAAATGAAACAAATGTTTACTTTTTCTGCCACCTAGCTATTCTGACAAATTTCTGATGGCATCTATTGTCTTTGTTTTTATTAATTTGATTTTCTTTTGTACATTAAGTTTTGTTTGTCTGAGGAGGGGGTCTTTTCTTGGTATGACAAGCCACTTTGGGGTCTATTCACGAGATTTTTAATTTAACATTTTTAGTATTTTTAATCATTAAACATTAATTATTGCTACTAATGAATTGAATTTTTATAGTTTATTCCAAGCTTGCTCCATGACTTTTTGGTAACTCGTGTAACGTGTTTTGAAATATATTTACAGTACCCTGTATGTGTATATACTTACTGTCGTATCGTCTGTTTACCTTCAGAATGGTTGTCCTATATTGTCAAGAGCGATATGAATACTTATTTGTCATTGATTGCATATAATTAAATACAACAGGGCAACGGTTGTTATATAGTACGCGAAATATATCGACTAGAGTATAAGCTACCTAGTTATATTTAAATAGATTCTAAACTAAATTTGCCAATCTTATTATAGAAATTGTTGCCAAGAAAAGTTTCTTTATTAATACATTAAGAAAATTTTTTTGGGTAAAAATTTCGGCTGTTTCAAGAAAATATTCCATAGATTATGAATACATATAGGATCAGAAAGCTTTTATTATATGACTTATATGTATCTAATAGATTTATTTCTTACTTAAAGCAGTACACACAAAATCATACGTGTTAGTATATTCACAATAAGTAAAAGGTCTAATGTGCATGTCCTAGGAGATAGTTATCATAGGTAACAATAGCGGTCTGAAAGTTTTTCTTTTTATTTACTTAGAGAGAAATAGAGAGAAGCAGACGACCAGATGTCAACACTAAGCTGCAATTAAATAACAATTTAAACTTATACCGGCAGTGATTCTAGTCATGGGATATCTGCGTGGGGCTCCGTCCTACTTTATCTTTGAACCCCATACTCTACAATGTGTTCCAGGCTCCTGACAATGTTTCTGGTCTGCGGGATCAACTGGTAGGGCACTAGACATGGATTACTAGGCTTTGGGCTCAATGGCAGGGTTTCGGCAATCAATGACAGGGCGCAGAGTATCGAAGGTAGGAATCTGGACTGAAGATGCGTTTGCTCCGTGGTCTAAAGGAAATTTGAGCCCATGTTTTTACACCATATTAGCATGTGTACATTAACACTATATTACTGACATATAACACGTATAATTAATAAGTAACACTACATAAATTATTTTTTACTTTAAAGAATAGGACATTTTTAATACAAAATGCAAATTTTATTAATTTCAACAATTTTATTTGTTAAAAAAAAATCTCTTATTCTGCTTTTTTTTTAATTCATTTGCAAATTTGTTTCCGGATTTTTTTCCCTCTCCAACCTTCATAAAGACATGGATTGGTAGTTAACTCTAAATAATCACCTAATTTGTATTCTACACATCAATGAATCATTCATGAATCAAATTCAAAAAAGTAAAACTTAGATACCGTAGATTACTTTCACTGTCCTTCTTTATGAAGTTTCCTAACGAATTATAGCGAATCGAAACATGTAGTACATGAAAATTCTTAGCATAAAAAAATGAACGCGATCAAAGAAAAGTTACTTGTATCAATATCTGTATTAGTATCGTTACAACTTTTAATGTCTAAGTCAAATATTTATGATATTGCGCTTTTAAACTTCAATTTCAATGTTTACCACTATTACCAAATGAGAAATACATCATTTCAAAATTAACACGATGAATGCTTGCTTTGCCAATTGAGCGATTCAGTCTTTTCCAAATAGTGAATTATAGGTTAATGTTTTATATATTTGTTTCATTTTTTGTGTTTTTTAATTAGAAAGTGAAAACTTAAAAAAACAAAGGTGTTTTCATATTAAACATGTTGATCATTGTATGCAAACGAATATTTCGAACATCTTTAAATTTAAACAAATTTTAAGATGTTCATGAAGTCACCAACTAAAATTCCAAATTGTTAATTTAGTGTTTTACTTAGTGTTGTCCAAATACTTTTGGATATACAACTACTGAATGTGTTTTGGGTTGAGAAAAGTACGACATACTCACATGTTACATTTAAAAAGTTTTTAAGTAAAATTTAAAACTGGCAAATGCCTTTGATTACATTATATATAATTCACAATAAATAATCAACATACCTGAATGCGAAGACTGCCAACAAATATTTAAATGATTCCGAAACATCATTTCATTATTACTTCCTACCTAGTTGCATTCCTATCAATGAAAATTCGTTTATTTTTACAATGTATCACATGGATAAAAATACAATGATATTATTATCATGATCATATCAAAGGAGGAAGAAAGAAACAACTGATTATATAGGTTTCATGTACAGTACTAAATCATTACATAGAGTTAAATATAGCTATCTGGGATTGGTTGTTATATTATTTGCATACTTTCGATTTTCTCTTGGGAACATTATGAATATATTTTCATGCAATCACAAATTTGTCCTCAGTAGTTCATATTCAAGGCCCGGAGATTTATTTCATTTTGATCAAAAGTTTGGGAAATTTTAATTGGGAAATTTTCTGCGAAATCGCTAGCTATATAAAATAAAAACACAA